CAGTGTTGCAGTTGCCTGTGATAGGTGAGCCACACTGTGGCAGATCTTAGCTTACAAGAGAAAATGCTAAGACAATGTGAGGAAGGATGTAGGACAGGGGTGTCAAACTTGCAACATCATGTGATATATTGTGACGTATTGCAACTTTTTCTCCATTGCTGGCAATGGGGTGGACGCAGTTTCGGCATGATGCATCCGGTCTGCGGGCCAGCAGTTTGACACCCCTGATGTAGGAGAAGGGTGATGAGCAATATAAATGATTGGCAGGTTATTACAAGAAGGCAATAGGACTATCAGTCAATTGCCAGGAGCACAAGCTACAGGTGGTCCTTGACTTTTGAATACAATTGGATCTAGCATCTCAGTTGTTGAGTGAAGCAGTCAGTGACTGGTTTTTTGTTCTCCGCTCAGGTACAACTGGTACTTTCAGTTGTAGTCTTTAAGCAATTTTCTGAGTTGTTAAGCAGACAAGAGTGAAAGAGATGCCTGTCAGAGGAGCTGAAATCCTCTTGGCAGGCAGCCCTTTTGCTCTTAAAAGTTTCTGCAGCCCACCAAAGGATTTCAGCTGCTCTCATGCATGGAAGGGAAATTCTTCATTGGGCTGCAGGAACAGAGCTAAAATCCTGAAAATTTCAGCTCCCCTTTATCCCTTGCACTTGCAATCTTTCCCTACTGGCTTCTCAACTGACTTAGTGGGAAAGCCAGCAGAAAACACTGCAAATGGTGATCACTTGATTGTGGGGTGCTTGGCAACTGATCATAAATATGAGCTGGTTGCCAAGCACTTGAAATGTGGCTGTGTGACTGTGTGGGGGCAACCTTTTACTGGGAAGAGTACTTTATGGCCCATAAAATGCCCTTTCTGATCATAACTGTGACTGCTAAATGACTGTCTTAAGTCAAGGAGTAGCTGTATCCACAAGCTAGTGTGAGCAGTGTATTCTGGTGGGAGTCCTGCTTGAAGCTGGATAGCAACTAGGAAAGGAGCAACCACAGTGAAACAACAGCTCATCCCAACTACTACCGGTACCAGAACTTTGGGAAAGCCTTTTTTTTTTAGACTTTTGTTTGAAGAATATCTCAGAAACCGAATACTACTACAACCACATGGAATCAGCGTAGCACACAAGCCAACTAAAGCCCTTCAAAACATCCTAAGCAAACCAAAAGACCCAGAAACCCCAGAAGAAAAAACAAGAGTCATCTATAACATAAAATGTAAGAACTGCAACAACCACTGTGTAGGACAAACAGGCAGAAGACTGGCAGAATGCATCCATGAACACCAAGTGGCAGTCAAAAGGCATGATGAAAATTCTTTAATTTCACAACATATAGACAGATTTAACCATAGTTTCAATTGGGAAAATGTGACAATCCTAGACCAGGCCAAATCCAAAAATGCCAGGGAATTTCTAGAACCCTGGTACTCTTGACAAACCAGCCATCAATAGACACATAGACATTAACAACATCTATAGACTATGCAAAAGAGACGATCAACCAGCCCAAAACAGAAAAAGACTCCAGCACCTCTCCACCAGTAATCAGTACTCAGATCAGCATACATTAACTCCAAGGTCAACTTCAGACCAACAATCAAGTAAGCAAGACCCCAATCAAGAAAGTGCCAGAGCCCAACTAAAGAATCCCTAAGACTGCCCCCACCAGACAGGCAAGACACCAGAATATAAACTGTCAGCAAACTAGCACTGATGACATTATCTAGTTAGGGCAATGAAATGTCTGCAAGAAAACAAGCTCAGGGAGCACCAAGGACCCCTCATTTTTGTTTGAATTCAGTAATAAAGGACTTCGAGTATAAAGGGCTGAGCAGTAAAAATATTTAAGTGGGAACATCATAAGCCCTAGAAGGGCGGAATTGACTCAGAGCAGTAGCCTGTTGGGGAAGGAGTATAATACCATCAACCTGATTGATAAATAAACTATATTGTGTACAGATTTGCTATGTCATGATGTCCAGTCCTTGGAAAACAAAGAACCCTCATACTTACTAGAAGCAGATCCACTGCTTTTTCTGCAAAGCAGGCAAGGATCCAGGATAGGAATACAAAGGACTCCTTTACAAACACTTCTCTTAGTCTTTCACTGCTGCATTAGAACTAGTTCTTGGGAAATCTTGCTGAACTTTTGGATCACTGCACTCCCCATTTTGGACATGAAGTTCCAAAACAGTTATTAAAAGCAGGACATCTCATTAAACCAGATGGTCTTTATTTCAGTGCCAGTATTACAGATACAACACAAATGTCCCAGAAGAACAAATTCAAATGGAACCCAGGACTGACAGACTCAGGAAATGAAAGGGGGGTGGGTGGGAGGGAGCAGGAAGCAGCTTTGCAGTGGAGTCTTGAGACGAGTCTTTCTGCAGCTAATGCCCCCCCTCCATCTCTAAGCAGTTTGCCCAGGATCACACTCTTCCTTTCTACTCATCCTACCACAGCTGACAGCCAAGGAACAGACAAAAGGAGGTCCAAGATTTGGGATTGGGGCACATTGAAAAATGACCTGCTAGAGCAGTCAGTCTTGTCCATCATGATGCTTCTTCAAAGAGGCACTGGCCCAAAATGGGCTTGGCTTCACTGCCCATTGTCCTGCCAAATCCTCTAAGCAGTGTTTCTGTCCAGAATAGCAGATCCATACAGGGCTCAAATCACTGCTCACCAGGGTTGCAGTCATGTGTAGAAAAGGGCCCCAACATCAGGGGAACCCAAGGAGAAAAGAAGGGCACCAGCTTCCTTGAACAAAAGTGTCTAAAGATGGTAACCCTGTAAGGAGCCAAGCCAAACCCAAACCCATCTCACCCACCCATCTGCTAAACAAAAGGCGGCAACAGCAGCAGCAGCCCCCTTCCCAGGGGAGGGGGGAGAGAGCACGTGTCCCAATGTGCCCCCCCTTCCCCAAACAAGGGAACGTGGCGTCTGTGGTGGATGGGGCTCAGCAGTTCAGGAAGAGAAGAGAGAGTACGCAAAGTTTGAAAGAGAGATGCTTCAGGATGAGCAAGATCAGTCCTCCTCCTTCTCCTCTGAAGCAGCAGCAGCAGCAGCTCCCCCAGCCACAGGGAGGCTGGGGAGCCTCTGGAGTCACAGGCTCTGCCCAACGTTCCTTTGGCCAACCAGGTAGGGTGAGGAGAGCAGAGCTCACTGCCAGGATTGGGGAGGGAAAGAGTTGACCTCTGCCAGGTCCTGCATTGCCGAGCCCTTGTGGTTGTATGTCAACTTGATCCGCATGCGGAGCTGTTGCTGCAAAAAACCAGAGAGGTGAAAACTGAGTAGGGGATGGAGAGGAGCCAAGGTCCAGCCCTGGCTAAATAAGAGAAGAGTACAGCGAAGGAGAAGAAGCAAAAGCTGCATCTTCCTTTGCCTCCCTCTTCAACTGGCCCATCCCTGTTAAAGGCCATCTGAAGGGAGGCTGGAGAGCCGCCTCACTTGTGTACCTTTTGCGGATTCAGGACTTTGATGACTTGTGTGATGGTCCCTGTGTTAAATGCTGGGATGCTGCTGCTGCTCGGAGACAGGAGCTGCAGCTGGAATGTCTAGAGGGGAACCAACAAGGGAGCTACGCTGATTTCTCAGCAATGGCAAGCAATAAACATTCTGCAAGGCTGCTTGCATCAGTTTTCTGATGGCCAAACCGTATCTTATGTTAGCCTTATCCCCACCTGAAAGACCTGACCCACCTTTGGTACTGCAGCCTGGAAAACAAAATCTGTCATGTCCAAATCAGTGCTGTTGGACGCCTGTATGGTGATGACGGTGACACTGGGGTTTGTATTGGAGCGCTCAAAAGCAAAATCAATCTTCAGGCCGTTCTTGTTGTAGGCTGTGATTGGAGGAATGCCTGTGGAGAAGCAGCACTGCTCAAGTCCTCGGGCTGCCTGAAACCTTCCTTACTTTTTAGAAGCTCAGATTCCAACACCCTCACGGGCAGGGATGCGAGGAACCAAGCTGCAGGAGAAAGCCTGTCTTTTCCTTCTGGAGTGGTGTCCTGGCAACTGCCTGGACCGGTCCCTGCAGTTTTCTTGGCAAGGTTTTTGGAAGGGGTTTGCCATTGCCTCCTTCTTAAGGCTGCCCCAAGGCCATCCAGCTGGCTTTGTGCCTAAGGTGGAACTAGAAATCAGAGACTCCCGTTTCTAGTCTGATATCTTCCCCATGATACCACAATGGCTATGGAAACCAGGCTATGATAACCAATATTACAACACAACCCGAGAACAACCCTGTTTGCTTGAGTAGGTTTGATCAGCAATATTCTTTTTTGTTTTTAATTGGGGTTCCCAAGTCATCTTGAGAAATATCTTTAATAGAAAGGAGTGAAGTACATTTCTATACATCAGCAATTCCTTTCCATATATCAGCCTAGCTCAAGTCCAGAGTGTTCTACATTCTCACCAGAAGGTATATCATTGAAGATGGGTGGTGAAGAAAGTCCGTCCAACAGAAATGGAGACTGTGGTATCTGTGGGGCAGGAGCTGGAAGACCTGCAAAAGCAACACAGAAAACCCTATGGCTCCCCAAACCTGCGGTTCCCAACATCCTGTTTTTCTCCCACCTGAAAACACAGGATTTCACCTGTTGTTGGATTGAGATCCCCAAGAAGGTCCAGCAGCTCCCCACCAGCAGAAGCTGCCTTGCTGGAAGGGGCCGTTGATATGACGGGAGTGATGTCATTGCTTCCCAAAAGATCCAGTAGGTCATTGGCCTAACGAAAAACACGGAGACAACTTATCTGGACAAAAGAGCATGCAACTCAGAAGAAAACACCCAGGGAAGTAGCTAAGCAGGGGAATTTCTGATGAGGAATAGCAAGAAAATCATCAACTGATCTTGTGGTAGTTTATGCCACTCTTGTTGACAGCATGAATTCCACAAAACATTCACTTTTCTTACCTGGCTGGCTGGTGGCAAGCTGGACAGAGGTGGCTTGGTCTCCAAGACTATTGGCTCTGCTTCCCCATTGGGCTGAGTAACATCTGTAGGACCGTTAGCTGCCAATTTCTCCAGAACTGGCATACGTTCAAGCAGTGCTGACCTGCAAGGGAGCAAGGTAATCCTAATCCTATGGTTCTATTCACATGGGGGATTGGGGTAGAAGCAATTGCCCGTTGCAGAGGATCTCTCTGATAAAGGGACAATGGCCAAAAAAAAATGTCTTTCTGTAGCAGAGACACATCAAGCCATCAGCTAAGCTCGTTCAGCTGGTGGCAGGCACTTGTGACGTATGTTTAGGAGATGGAAGATCAATAATAGGGGTTTTCTGTTAGGCATGACATATTATACAAACACAAGAACAATGTTACTTTATTTGGTCTTAGGGTATATTAGGCTATGTGAACCCAGCCGGAGATATAGTTTTGCAAAGAATTTAGGAAGTGGGCAGTTACAGTTGATACACTCTGAGAGATGCAGGATAAATATCCTTAAATTTCTGATGTGTTTCTCAGACAATCTTATGTTGTCTACTACTATCTGCCCAAACAGCAAATGTGACTTCTAAACTAATTAGAACACAATAACTATCCTCCAAAGAAATATCGGCTCTTCAATAAAGAGCTCTTTTACTAGCTCTGAAAAATGCATCATGACTGTGAAGATGTTAGGCTGACCTACTGATCAGAATCCTTTAATTTAGATTCTGTATCGATACAATGTTTGATTCTGTGTTCTTAGTTCAGAGAGGACATGCATGCCCTCAGAGTGATTCCAAGATAAAGTTGTGCCTCAGATCTAGAGCCATATATATTTCATTGTTCATACATATCAACAATGTATTCTAAAAATTCCAGTGGTAAACTAATGGCTTAGCTAGAGCAGCTAAAGACCAGCTGCTTCCCATGAATAAGACTCCTGCAAATCTGGAAGAGATGACAAACATACTCTGCAACTGCCGGAGTACAAGCCGTAGTAGTTTGTGATATGCTTTGGAAGAATGAGGCAGTGGGCTATTCGATGCTATTCGTACCCAACTGAGCCAAGATAATGCACGAAGAGCTGTGATATCAAGTCTATCTTTCAGCAGGAGTCACTCTTCAGTCTCCACGCATGCATCTCAAGGCGCCACCACCAGACAATGAAGGATGTGGAAAGGCAACAAGACTACCAATCCTGGGGCTTCAGTACTCACCTCATGTGGTCATACTTTTTGAATAAGGCATTGTACTCCACTGCCCTCTGCTGGAGCTCCACATCAATGCTGCTGCCATATATAGAGACCACCTTCTTAATGCGACTGTGGGGGGGGGAGGAGGGAGGGAGAGAGAGAGAGGGAGGGAAGGAAGGAAGAAATGGTGAAGGCAGCAGAGAAGAGCTTACTTTAGCAGGCCTGCCAGTTCCAAGCCTTTCACTACAGCAGGGTTGAGACACAACTACCATGGCCCTGGTGGCACTGAATGGATTGCCCATGGAAACATCTGGCCTCTGTCACCAAGTTTTCCTCTGAGGTTCAACCGAGAACACAGTGCTGGAGACTCCTCTTCCAAATGCCAGCTTCCTGGAGAGTTTGGCTCTTTTCAGAAGATTTTAAGCAGAGCTCCAGAGACTCAACTGCAAAGCCCAACCTCTTCCATAACCCAGGGAACTTACTTGACTGTGCAAGTGAACCGCGTTGAGAGTTTCATGATGGCAGTGAGGGCGTAGCCCCGTGTGACTGATGCCGTCAAGTTGGAGACAAGGATACTTTCCAGAACATCAAGGACTTCATCCTCTGTGACCTGGGCAAACCAAAGGTTTGGACAGGGGTAAGGAAGCTGGGAAAGCAGCCACAACCATCCTCTTCCCTTCTCCAGTCAACCAACCTGGATTGGCTCCTCCTCCTCACACTGACCGGATACCAAGAGATCTCCATATTCACCAATGCACCAGGAAGCCACCTGTACCAGGGGTTGCTAGCAGAGGAGAAGGAAAGGTGACAGTTCAGCCATGATTTCTGCCTCGAGACAATCAAAAGAGTGTTTCCGCCCACCGCCACTGGACTTACTTGGGAATAATCTCCCAGAATGGCTTTGTAGAGTTTCTGTACAGTGTAGGCATGCATCTCTATGCTGTTGGTAATGAGTTGGATAAGGTTGGGCACAGCATCATCACGAACATAGCTCCCTGCCTGGAGTGGGTGGGGAAAGGTGACGGTATTACTCCTTAGTCATGGTTTGGCACTTACAAAGAGGTTTCTATTGGGGAAGCTACAGATGTTGGACCAGTAAATTATATTCCTCCATTTTTAAAGTGGGGAGGAGGTGTTATATAAAAATATAATAGAATGCAAAGTTCTACTCTATAAGCACTTATAGTCTGACTGATTTAAAGTGGTCAGATAAAAGTTATTAAACTGATAAAATAAAATGCTATACCAGCATAATATAGTTGCAAAATTCCAGTGTCCAACTCTCCTCAAAACAGCTTAGTCAGTGACTGTTCAAAACTATGATGGCACTAAGCAAATGGTGGTTATGACCAGTCCTCAAGAATTCTGCCCATTCCCACACCCTCTCATACACATGATCAAGATCTGGGCACTTGGCAGCTCATTTGAGCTCACCACTGGTTGCCGCACATGGTTGCTATTTGTGATCTTCCCTGCCAGTGTCCAGGCCGGCAGGGAAGGCCACAAGTCACTGGGATAAATCTCCCTATCTTCTCCAACCAGTGCCTGTCATGTATCCTCTAGCACAAGGGTCCACAACCCCCTTTCCGCAGACTGGTACCAGTTTGTGGCCAGTTGGGAGCTGAGCCGCGCAAGTGGCAGGCGAGTGTGCGAAGCTTCATTTGTGCATGTGCGGGATCTAGGCTGCATGCGTGAAACCATCCCCCTCCTCGCCACTATTGCTGCCTGTCAGTCTGTGGAGCCAGAAAGGTTGGGGAGCGCTGCCCTAGCAGTCCTGTACACACCCTCCAACCTTCATTGCACCTCCCTCTCACACATGCTCCTCCCCCTCACACATTCTCCTCCACCCTTCCCTGCACCCCTGCATCCCCTGTCACTTCCTCCCCCATCCAGCATCCCTTGCAATTTCCTGCTGGCTTCCCTACTGACTTTGGTTGCCTTGCCTAATAGGTGTGGGATTCAGTTAATGATGGCAATCAGGACTGCAGAGGACAAGGGCGCTTTACAACCACATTATGGTACTTAGCAATGGAAATTCCATTCCCAATTGCTGTCGCCAGCCAAAGACTGCTGCAATGGCAGATCCTCAGAAAGAATTTTGTGCTGATGTTTTTACTGCACATTGAAAGAATAAACAGAGAAAGTGCAGAGGGGTTCTTAAGTGGCCTTGCAGTTCCGAGAGGGAGAAAGGGCTTCTCAAGAGGTTGACACAGCATGAACTATTTAAAATGATCTCCAATAATCTGCATTATTTGCAGATGGCCATTGCAAATAATAAAATAATGTATTCAATTTATGTGCCATCTGATTCCCAAAGACTCTGGGCACTTTACTAATTGTTAAAAACATTCTAAACAAGAAAAAAATATAAATAAAAAGAACAGAGGCAGCAGAAGCTAACAAACTCAGATGGGAACAAAAAAAAAAGGGGAGGGGGAGGGGGAGTTTTCAATCACATTGGTCAAAGGCCAAGTGAAGGGCCAGGTCCTCAGAGCCCTTTGAACTGCCAGTAGGACGGGCTGTTCAAATCCTGGGAGAATCTAATTTCCAAGGGCTGGCACTGAGTCAGAGAAAGCGCTTAGATAGATGGCACTATTTAATTGAAAGAAACATGCCAACCATACCAATCTGGCAGGTATTATAGGAGACGGGCAGTCCCTCAAGGAACATCCTAGGCCATCCAGGGCTATATAGGCAGGACTTGAGTCACATCTAGAAGCAACCTCCCAATCGGTGCAGTCCCTGCCATGTGTGGCATGCTTGGCTAACTGGGCCCTTCCTGCCCACCTCTAGCCAGGGGAGCCCCTGGCCCTCTTTCAACGCACAGCAGCCGCCAGTCAGACGACGAGGGGCAGAGCAAGATCCCACTCGGCACCCACTGAAGGAAGACGCACCAGAAGGCCTGGCATACGTGAAATCACGGTGAAGCCTCTGTAGAAGGCATACTTACCGTTGTCAAGACTCGCATGATGGTATCTATGTGCCAGCGTTTAGAAGGAGCGTATCTGGAAAATCAATAAACATATGTTCAGAGAGGACCGTATGCCACTATCTGCTCAACAATTTCCCAATTTCCCCACATATTCAAGCGCAATACTGGAGTAATCTCGATTGTGTTGCAGACATTTGTGAACTGAAGTTAAACCCTGCACTGGGGTAGAGGGGGATTTCAGGGGGAGCAATGATCATCATCCTTATCTAGTTTGGTGCTCAATGGCATCTGCGCCATCTTGCAGGAAGCATGGCCTAACAACATGATTCCAGCACACAAATGCACCACCCTTTCTCCAATGTGCTGCAATTTAACGTAACTGTTCAAGTCAATACAGCAGCTAAGAGTAGGGTGGCAGAGCACTGCAAAGGGCAAAGGTCTCTCCAGTCAACAGCTTCTGATCCAGACAGCAGTAAAATCCAAGGCAGCCCTTCTAGGTGTTCTGAGATAAAGCCAACAGACAGCAGCCTTTCCTACAACACAGCTTCTAAATCAGGCAAGTCCAACTTGCGGCCCTAGACAGCCAGTAATGCGACCTCACAAGATCGTAAACTTTTAACATTATATGAGTTATATACAATAACTATATTATATATTTTATATGAGGCCCAAGACAATGCCTTTTCACACAATGTGGCTCAGGCAAGCCACAAGGTTGGACACCCATGCTCTAAATGTTGGTGGTAGGACTAGAATGGGTGGAAAGACCGGCCAGAAATAAATTAATGGAAACTCTTAAGAAAACTTACTTTTCTGCTGCAAGAAATATTCCTGATGCACAATCAGCCTTGAACTCTGGCTCACAAGAATCCAAAAAATATAGCAACTCTTTCATCATTCCCCGAATGTTGTTCCCATTCACAAGAGCAAAGCTGAGTTCCATTGCGCGCCTGGGAAAGGTGAAAGGGATTCATTAGCCACAGGGTATCATCAGGAAATGACACCCCAATTTCACCTGATGCGGAAGGAAGAAGCTGGGGCCCTGTAAGAACCATGGCGCCCCTGAGGGTATTTCTGGGGTGGTGGGTGTGCCTCTCAGTGAGTTGCGTCTACCAAGTCATTCTCAAGTGCCATCCCGCATCTGCATGAATCAAGAGGCCAGACTGTTTCCTTGCCAATGAAGTTATCAAATTTTGAATAGGTCCCAACCCATAAAGAACCCTCCCTGTCCCCAAATGGCTAAGCACAATCATCATCTCCAAGGCAGTAATGACTACCAACCTCTGACATTTCAATACTTCAACAACAATAATTTGCTAGGACAGCTTAATGATCAACCAGTAGAACTTGCCTTAATTAGTCACTGAAAAATTAAGAAATCCATTTAAACTGTGGAAGATATCCATTCTTTTTTACATATATGCTCATTAACAACAAGCCATGACAAATTGCTAAACAGCCCTTCTTTCTTCTGACATCCTAAATCTCTTATCTATAAAGAGTAAATTTATTAAATCTGTCCCAAGAAGACTCAAAATTCCACAAAGCTGAAATTCTGTAGGAGGCAGATCTCTTTTTTGATGCAAAAGCAATCTTCTCAATGTTAGAAGGGATGAAAAAGATATAAGTGAATCTGACCTAAGCTGACGCATTTTGAAAGTGCAAAGATTTCTATTTTTTCAATTGTGGGACTGCATTTTAAAACTATGGGTAACATCTGTAAAATGCTGTGAGATTTGAAAAATTATATTTTATAGCCTTGCCCCACCTACCCCACTGGCTCTTACAACTCCACCCTGCCTTCCAAGACTTCCAAATCTGTTAAGATTTTCAATGAATACTTAGTTCTCAACACAAAACGTTTAAAGAATAAGCAAAACTGCAAGCTATTCTTAGGGCGCTTTATTATAATTTTTTCTCCATAGAAAAGGACAAAGAAATTTACTAGTGGATAGATTACTCCAAAGATTTCCAGGGCTGCTGAGATCCACATCTTGACATAAAAAGCATTCAGAATGCGGCAGAAGCCACCCCAGAAAAAACAATACTTTGGATATAGTAGTTGGCTCTTTGGGAAAGACTAGCTGAAAAAGAAAAAAAGGCAGAAAAAACACAAGGCAGCTAAAGAGTAATCTGTAATCACAGCCTGGCCTTTCCTTCCAGCTTCATTCACCGTTTGATGGAGACATCCAGATCCTTTAAGCAATCCACAATGGTGCTCCGATGTCGCTGGACAGCATTGTGGTCAGTCTGCACAGTTTTCAACAAGGATGTCAAAGCTACATATCTGAGGAACAAGAAATGAATACTTTAGATGATGGCAGCTGCTCTGCATTGCAGCACACTGAAGGGCTCCTGCAGAGAGCAAATGGGCAGTCAAGTCTACCCAAAGCTCCCGGAATCAATTTTGGTCAGCTAAGAAATAAAAACATCTCATCATGGCAAAAGAACCTAGATTGAACAACTGTATTAGAGTGAGCAGAAAATAAGTTCCTGGCCACACTTAAGAGATGCCTGGTGCTGACCAGGATGTCAGGCCAGTTCCAATCATAACATGCATTGATAGGCTTACCTTATATTCTTGTCATTATTGAGTAAAAACCGACCAAGAATGTTAATGGCCAGCACCTGCAGAGAGAGAGATAGACAAGGTCACAAAGAACCTCCTGTCAGAATTTCCCGCTCTCCAACAGAAAATGTCTGGGGGGGGGGGGCAGAGTTGGAATAGCAAGGCAAGACATTGATTGGTCAACCAAGGAATTAAAGCATATAGCTAAAATCCCACTGGTGCCCCAATCAGACTTTTCCTTCTGAAAAGTTCTGGTACTCCTGAGGAAGCCTGGAAAAGCTCCAATATGGCAGCCACTGTTCCTTGAGGACCCACAGAGCCAAAGTGACGTACTCTCAGGCCGCTTTCAGACTTTATGTCCATGATAGTTAAGACGGTTTCATAAAGAATGGCATTTCCCACATTTTTGCTTGTTTCCGTGTTTGTGGCCACCTGGAATACAAAGGATGGTTTACAATTTTCTGGTTTCCAGCCCAAGACTTCCCAACCACCTGCCCATAATCCTCTCACCTGTGCAAGAATATCATTCATTGCTTCACTGGAGTCATCATCATTTCGGCCCAGAATTCTCAGCAACCGCAGGATTCGAACCTGGAAAAGATTACATCTGTTGTCTCGGGTTCCTGAAGATGCCTTAAAGAGCAAGCCAATTCTGCTCCGTCTTCAAAAAAACTGACCTGCAGAAAGGGGTCACTGATACCCGAAACATCATGCTCTGGAGAATAGCCTGACATAATAAGGTTTTTCAGAATGCGAACAAGCTGGGGTACAAGCTGAAAAGAACACAGAGATATCAGGAGTTTGATTTTGGACTCTATGACCTATGGTTCTATTTGATGAATCTCTTACAAAGAAAAGCCCCTTTGCTTAGCTTCTCGTCAGCATATTTAACACTTAGGGATATTTTTTATTGCAGTCTTGTAGGATGGCAGCAGTCCATACCTCAGCACAGAAACAAAAAAAAAAAAGGCGGCAGTGGCAATATGTAAAGTGGTGGAGTGGGGTGTCATCATAATGGCAAAAATCTCTGAACAGGCTCAGGTGGCTCCTATTAATGGAAGCCAACTGAATTCAGCCCTGAAATGTTTGGAACCCAGCCCATCCTTCTCCCTGCCTCTTTTCCCACAGAAAAATGGGTATTTTCTACTTAGGAAAGTGTTGCGGTTACAGCAATGCGAGTCTCTCCAAGTCTAGACTAGCAGGGTTAATCCAGCAGAGAAGAAGAGCAGGAGGACGACATTTGCCTCTATCAGCCTATAGCAAAGCATGCACTGCAGGGAGGGGGGGAAGTAAGGCAGCAGGGAACGCAAGCACCTTCTTACCTTTTCATTCTAACCCACCAGAACAGGATTCCAAGCAGAGAAAGGGGACAAAAGAGATGAAGGTAAGTACTGGGCAGAGAAGACTCAGCTTGCAGCATCAACCACCACCACCAGCCTAGCCTCAGACTCGAAACGCTGAGGATTCTCCTCTCCCAATCACAGTCTTCCCCAGGGGACAATTGCTTCCTTCCTTTGCATCCACTGGTGCCAGGCAAAGGCTAGTCCTCTCCAGCCTCAGGGCTAAGCGGTGGAAGCAATGGCAGAAGCAGCTCCTGCCTTGGCACACTTCGCTTTCAGTTATATCTGCTAGGCCATTAGTTCATAAAACAGAACAAGCCAAAGTTTAACAGGCAGAAAGGAGTGCTGCTTATCGTGGGTGTGTACAGGACGTGAAACATACATCCTGGTACACAATCAGGGACCCTCTTGCCACAATCAGGACCAGAAGCTTATTCTTCTCACTGAAAGGACAAGAACAGGGACCCAACTGCACAAAACTCTCAGATGGTCTCACCTTTCTGAAGTGGGCAAGCATGTCTGGGCTTCTTTCACACATTTCAGTGAGGAGGACAACGGAAGTGTGAAGGACACCTGTGTGAAGGAGCACATGAACCTATGTTTTATGTGGCCACTGCAGCATAACGTTAGGGAAAGATGCTGTGGCTAAAAAGAATTATTACCGTGGTTTTTCTCATTCAGCAGATTCTTTGTGGCTGGCAGAAACATCTCCATCAGCTCAGGAACCTTCCTGATCACATGAACTGCACAAAGGGCTGCCTGCAAATAAATGAGAGGGATCAGCACACTTTAAGTACTTGTTCAGGGCTCCCCAGAGAAATAGGCTATTTTATTTGGATTTAATTCAAGTTCTGGAATTTACAAAACTGGGCAGAAACATTTGAAGCCTGCAAGAATAGGAGATATACACACTGCCAAGAGAAAGGCAACAACTAGAGCAATGATCCCATAAGTACAGCCTCCTTCCTCTAACAGTTGAAATAAAGTAAGCCAAAGTCTGCATGTAAGAAAAAAACCACTAACGGCAGAAAAAATGTCACTTAGTCTCTCAATGAGATACCTTTTTCCTCAGGTAGGAGTTAGAAGTCTTCAGAAGCTTCTCCACCTCCCCAGCAAGGTCCCGGCACATTTCAGAAGAGCCCATGCAGCCCAAGGTGCAGAGTGCCAAGCCCTGCACATACTGCGTGCTGTGATTAAGGTCACTGCAGATGAAGAAAGCAACAGGTTAAGGAACTACCAGGAAGAAACCAAGAACGAGAGAGGAAGCGCATCAGATGTTGCCTCCGGACAGCCAAACTCAACTGTGAACGTTCACCTGCCAATGTGTGCATTGCAAATGAAATAGTTTCTCAACCAAGAGAGAGAGTTAAAGTCTCTGGAAGCCTCTGGCCAAGAATCCCTAGTCACCTTGTGCACCATAATGATACGCCAGACGCCTACATATTGAGAGTGGGAAGTTTGTGCTCTGTTCCAGCTCAATTCAACTACCTGACTGTCTCTTACATTCTATGCAGGAACGCTTCTCTTTTCTGTCTGAGGCAGGAGAACACAGATTGCTCAGAATCAAGTCCCAAGCATTAGATCAAGATTTCTTACTTCCACCCTCAGTCCCAGGAAAGCAAGCAGCCTTACTTCTTGATGCAATTGGTCATGAGGAGATGAACATCCTGCCTCTCATCCAAGAGTAACATGGCTCCAAGATATCCAATGCGCTTGTCTGTGAACTTCTGAGAGGCAATCAGTTTTAGGCACTCCAGCTGCAAGGGGGACAGTGGATGTCACATTTAAGCTTTAGCATTTTTATTACAGGAAGATCTTTACATGGCCAAAGTGATCCCCGCCCAAAAATTCAAGGCTGTGAATAAGCTTGGAAAACATAGGCTGCCTGATACTCTTGTGTTTCCAATGCCCAGATCAGCCTCGGCTGCTGCAGGAGAAATAAAATCTGTGTCTACAGGGCAGCAATGACCAAAAAACAATATTCCCCTTAGAAAAGGATAACCTGAGTGTCAGATGGGCTGCAAATGTATGGAAATGCCCAAGGCATCTCCAATTCAGCATGCTACTCCCTTGCCTTGGCAAGCCAATAAAAAAGATTTCTACAGTATTCATGTATGCAAATACGTATATACAGTATAGGACTCACATGGCCACCTATCTCACATGGAGATCCCACGCAACTCACAACATTCAATAAAAACATAATTAAAGCAGAACAATCCCCACCAAGTGCCAGGCCAACCAACAGTAATCTTCTAGCTCAACCCCCATTCTAGGGCAAGTACAGCTTGTAACATTACAAAAATGTCACTTTTATTAGTTTTCAAAACACAATTACAAAAAAGAAAAACCAAACATGAATATCAAATCCACCCGTGCCCAAAACAAAATCCTACAGGATATAAGAAAACCGGTTAAGTCAAGCAAAGAAAAAGTAACAGCTATCGCATAGCATAATAATTATATCAACATCAAAAATACTAAGTCAGAAATGTGAATTACCACGCCGCCTTTGGGCTCACAGGACCTCAAATATTTTGAAAGCGCTTTGAGAACCATCTCAAAAGAGGATTTGGAGAAATTAAATGAGAAAGCTTTAAGCTGCCTTAATTGCATACTGATGCAGTTTTGGCATACCTGAGGCTGATAGGAGTAAACAGGTGTGGTTTAAATGTTTAATGTGCAGGCTCAACACCGGTTTTCTCTATCTGCAGGGGCTGCTGCTACAGCAATATTGCAAAGCTAGGTTCACTATGTGAAGGAGCAGCCACACCAATCAGGCAATAGGAAAACACTGTGCTATGTTGTTATGTAATGATGGATGGAGTCTGCAGCTGCCTCTGCTCCCCGTTATACAAATTGCAGAATGTGCTTGATAAATTCTGCAGAATGGTATGGCATGGGGAACAGGTAAAGGTGCATCATCTCACATCTGGGGGCAGGAGGGGTGATCTATTTGTCCCAAGTCAGATCAAAGCTGGCTTAATACCTGAAGTCTTATTTGAAAGACACCAACCTGGGGAAGGGCCTTTTGCCTGAATAATACCCATTCTCCTATTTTTCTGAAGTAACATGGGCTGCCATGAAACAAAATCCATGCTGTATAATGTGAAGAAATATTTTTTAGCCATCAATGGAAACTGAGAACCTCTTGCTCCCTAGTATCCCTCTCCTGCAGGAATGCTTCATGTCCAGGGTCTAGATTTCCAGGACAGAGGTAAGCTTGCCTGTTTACCATGCCAAAAGAAGGTGGCTCTCACCTGTCCAAAGTGGGCAGGATAGCCCAACATGTGCATATACAACAATTTAGCTACATTCCGGCAGCGGTATGTGTTGTCCTCTTCTCGAAAGGATGATCGGATAGCAGCGCATTCTTTCTGAATCATCTCTCTTTCTTCTGCCTGTGTGCGTGCAGTCCGGATGGTCCGGATCAACTCCCGGAGTCTGATGGGGGCTGGCATCCTCTAATAAATGGAAAATAGATAAAATCAATGGATGCAGACACATGACAGTTGCAGAATTTTCCAAATAACAACCTCTCGGGTAATTTTATCTCCATTTCTAGTATTTCTTATGGTTAATTCAGGACTGCCATCCTAAGCCAGCAGTCTCAGACTATTCTACAGAGTGCAACCCATGGATGTGTGGAAATAACAATACCTTTATTGCTGACAAAGAATGCCCCCTAGATTTAAAATAGAATGTATCTGTATTTCCTACTTGAAAAAAAAGGCAATGCTCTCTTCTGTATTCACATCAGCTCAAAATATGGATATGCTTCTTCCAGAAGATACAGGTGGTCTTCAGGTTATAACCACTTGTTCAGCGACTATTGAAATACCAAATTATGACTGGTAGTTATGATCAGTGTTTGGAGTTGCAGCTGTTGTGTCATTGCGATCTGGGCACTCAGCCCCCAGCTTGTAACTACCACATTGCAATGAGCCACAATCACTTGATTTCTGATATTCCCTGCTAGCTTCCCAAAAGCAAAGTCAGTTAGGAAGCTATCAGGAAGTCCAAAGTCAAAGCCATGTGAGGTTCTTGCTTAACAACCCATGAGGTCTTTGTTTAATGACAGTTACCAGGGACTGCTGTAACTGCTATCGTAAGTCCCCGTGGTTACAGGCTGCTTAGCAATGGCAATTCCCATCTCAATTGCCTATAGAGGTAAGCTAAGTACTACTGGTACTCCCGAATGACTCCATGTAACTTCACAAGACACTTTTTAAGTAAAAGAGATTTTCCTATGGGAGATAAGTTGTCCCCAGAAAAATAATATAAATGCTATTGAGGTGGGAGGAAGACTATTTTTAAAAAAATAATAAAAAAATAGATAAATAAATAAATAAATGGAACTCTAGAAAAGCTCCAGGTAGATTGATTTCAAAATTATGTTAATAATACAAGACACATTGCCATAGTTTTGACAGTAACATAATTGTGAATGGATGCAATGTCAGACTATATGCTGCTTAAAACTGCAAGAAGCTGCCAGAAATGCTAATCCATTCAAGTAAGTACTAGGTAATTTTATTAAAGAACTTTCAGAGCTAGCATCAATCCCTCCCGTATTAGTTGCAAGTCCTCCTTCAGCGGAATAGTTGGTACCCAAAACTGATTTCATAAGGTCCTCCTCACACCCCACTTCAAGGGCTGTTACAGAGCCACCTTTATGAAAGTCTTGAAGGAAATATTAACATCATTTGTTCTTAAGTTGTATTTCATAACATAAACCATGTTTATTTTTTCTACTACCTTACAAAACCAGCAGCTATCAAACATCACAAGAAGTCAAATTTATTGTACAGTTAGATGAGAAGGAACAACTAAACGATTCCTGGGAACATACCAGTGAAATGCAGGGTAAAGCGAAAGAATGCTAGTCCAAGAGGACCAGTGGAATCAAGATGGGCATCCTGTATTTCTAAAGTAAGTTCATCGAGAAGAGAATATATTGTGAAAAGCTATAAAAACTATAGATCTGTCAGTTTGACACCTATACTGTACAGGGTACATCTTTGAACATAACAATTAAATAACAAATTAAATGAATAGAGGAACCAGATTTAGATAGAACATGTTAATGGAACGGAGAGATTTCACTTCTGTTATCTGTGTTTAATTTCACTCTGCTAATTGAAGACACCCAGGCCTGCTCAGAAGCAGCCCAAAGACTGAAGAGCTCTTATTGCATTAACTTAATGTTATAGTTTGAGATATAGTGCATTGAACCATAAACAAACCACACAGGCTGAATTAGCACAAGACCGCCAGGCTAATGGTGATGGGATACTTTGTGAATAAGCAATGGATTCGTAACTGGCTGACCAACCGCACTCAATATGTAGTCCTCAATGGAACTACATTTATGTGGAAGGAAGTATGCAGTGGGGGTACCCCAAGGCCCTGTTTTAGGCCCAGTACTCTTCAACATCTCCATCAATGATTTGGATGAGGGGATAGATGGGGAACTCATCAAATTTGCAGACGACACCAAGCTGGCAGAACACTCCAGAAGATAGGCTTAAGATACAGAAGGATCTTGACAGACTTGAACATTGGCCACTATCTAACAAAATGAAATTCAATGGTGAAAAAAGTAAGGTTCTACATTTAGGCAAAAACCAAATGTACAGGTATAGTATAGGTCAGTGGTGGCGAACCTATGGCACAGGTGCCAAAGGTGGCACTCAGAGCCCTCTCTGTGGGCACGCGCGTCGTCGCCCCAGTCCTAGGCCTTCAGCTGGGTTTTATAAAACCTTTTCACTTTAGGCCTCCGCCGCTGTATACAAAAAAAAAAAGGTTCAATCAATCAGTCAATTTCAACTTCTCGCAGGAAAAAAAAAATCTTGCAGAGTTGGAATTGATTGATTGAACTTTTTAGTCCCACCAAGTCTGCTGTTACCACCGCAGCCACGCCCACCCAATGGGCCACACCCACCCAACGGGCCACACCCACCCGGCACCCGACGATGCATAAGTGGGTTTTGGGTTGCAGTTTGGGCACTCGGTCTGTAAAAGGTTCGCCATCACTGGTATAGGTGGTACCTTGCTCAATAGTAGCAACTGTGAGAGGGATCTCGGAGTCCTACTGAATAATCACTTAGATATGAGCAAGCAGTGTGCTGCAGCTGCCAAAAAAGCCAACATAAACTGCATTAACAGAGGGATAGAATCAAGATCACGTGAAGTATTAATACCACTGTACAATGCCTTGGTAAGGCCACACTTGGAATACTGCATCCAGTTTTGGTCACCACGATGTAAAAAAGATGTTGAGACTCTTTCTAGAGTCTTTCTAGACTCTTTCTAGAGAAGAGCAACGAAGATGATTAGGGGACTGAAAGCTAAAACATATAAAGAACAGTTGCTGGAATTAGAAATGTCTAGTTCAATGAAAAGGACTACTAGGGGTGACACAATAACAGTGTTCCAATATCTCAGGGGTTGCCACAAAGAGGGAGTCAAGCTATTCTCCAAAGCACCTGAAGGCAGGACAAGAAGCACTGGATGGAAACTAATCAAAGAGAAGCAACCTAGAACTAAGGGGAAATTTCCTGACAGAACAATTAATCAGTGGAACAACTTGCCTCCAGAAGTTGTGAATGCTCCAACACTGGAAGTTTTTAAGAAGAGATTGGACAATCATTTGTCTGAAATGGTATAGGGTTTCCTGCTTGAGCAGGGGGTTGGACTAGAAGATCTCTAAGGTCCCTTCCAACTCTGTTATTCTGTAATTGTTTGACTACTGTACAGCTTAAAAGTGTCTATAAATTAAATCTACATGTTTAGGGCTATTCCAATGGATGTTATTTCTTTGTCATTATTACAAATTATCTGTGATTTCTTGTCTAGCAATTTCTCAAGATTAATGCCAACTAAACTACAAAATTACAAAAGTCTTGTCTAAAATCTAAAAGTACATCAATACAAGTATGATTATTGCTCAGTTCCACTTGTTTATTTCATGTTTTCCAACCATGCTTCTTTACATATAACTGCAATCTCTTTCACATCATCAGGGCAAACTCATCACACTATTTTTCAGTATGAGGGAAGATGGCTATGAGATCCAAAAACTTTGTTAATTATCAACCGCTCCCTCTCCCAGCTACTAGAAGCAAGTTTTATTTAGAGTTAGGACTAGCTCTTCCAAAATCTTAAATCTAAGATGACAAATCTAAGATGTATTCCCCATTGCTCGTGGACAGGGCTCTGCTAAGCGAAGTCAAAAAGGATTGTTCAGAGACATTTGTATTAACTATCTTCCAAACTATTTTCATTATTTAGATCAGGGGTCTTCAAACTTGGCCTTTTTATGACTCGTGGACTTCAACTCCCAGAATTCCTCAGCCAGCGTAAGAGGGCCAAGTTTAAAGACCCCTGATTTAGATCTATCTGACTTAGATGCAGTATTAGTGAAGGTACACCAAAGTGTACTTGATATACCTTCAGTAATGCTTCTATAGGATGTAATGGGAATCCTATGTACAAATATGTATTGGTGCTGGATTTATTATCACCCTAAAATATAGCTTCCATGGCTATGATTTGATTGATTGCATTAATCCAGAATATTCACGCTGAAAGCTAGTGGAATTTAATGGTTAATAATCTGGGGGACCCAGATTAAAATTCTATCATTCAACAATATTCATTGTCTTTGTCTTCTAGACTAATCCACATCACAAGATGGTCACCTGGGGGAAAGATTAAAAGGAGACTCCTACATGTACCACCTTGAGCTCACAAAAGAAAAACAGGATTCAAAATCTGTCAGCAGGATGCTGCACACAATGTACTAAGTTATGCTATGGTTTATTTGGTGTTGTAGCATGCTAAACCATGGATAAAAACCAGCAATGTATTGTGATGACCTAACCCAGATAGTAATTTACAAAATCAATTTTCACAGACACAGGCAAATTTTTCAAATCAGAGGAGTTTACTTATGACAAACTTCCCTTTTTGCTCCTGAAAAATGTCATATACATTCCTAGGAGCTTTCCCTTCCACATCATGGAAATTTAGAAGTGTGTTCTGTTGAGGTTAGTACATACAGCTCTTGTATACCACTTCGGAAAAAGGAATGAGCTGGAAGAAGGCAATCAGAATAACCGAGGCTGAACCACTTTGGCTTAGAGAAAAAAAACCCCAGAACACTGAGAACGCTAACTAGCAAAACGGCCACTCAGGTGGACCCCATCAAAAAGAACACCAACTGCTTCTCCTCGGAGAGCAATCCCCGGGGCCGGTCCCAGGGTCGAAAGTCCCTGATGGCCTCATACCTATCAGACTTTTCTGGAGAAAAGCCGCCCGCCCGCCCACGCCGTCAATCCTTCCCGATGGTTCCCCCGAGCGGGACAGAGAAGGTGGGCCTGGGCTGCGTCCTCGGGGCCGGGCCGGCTCACCGGCGCACGACGGCCGGGGACGGTATTGGGGCTGAGCCGAGCCCGGGCCCCGCGCCGGGAAAAGCTCGGCCAGCCGCGAGGGGGGACTCGAGACGCGCCGGCCGCTTGGGGGGGAGCGCTCCGGCCTTGTCCCCCGCCTTTCCCCGAGCGCCCACTCACCGGGCCGGGTCCCTGCAGCGATGGCGGCGACAGCGGCAGGAGCCAGGCATCCAAAATGGCGGCAGCGGAACCAAAGCACCGATACCGCAGGCGGAGGAATTCTGCGGCCGGCACTTGCTAGTTTATCTCCGTCTGGACGCGGCGGTTACTCGCTAAGACTGTTAAGCGAGCGACCACCGGGTTAATCCCTTTCGCGGCACCGGCAACTCTCGCTGCGCGCGCGCCTGCGGCAGCCGCCCTCAGGACTCGTTTCTCAAGCGGAGGCGTCCGAGGTGGGGAACACGAAGACCGCTCCGCGGCAGTCACTAATGACGTCAGACGCCTGCCGAGTCACCGCGGCTATCGCGCCGGCCATAACTGCCCGGGTGAAACTCGCCGACGAGTATGAAGGTTCCGCCGAGGCTCACGTTTCTTCCTGAGCGCCTGTGAAGCGGAAAGAATGGGACCTGCGCTAGTGTGACGAGGCGCCGCGGATGGCCTCGCCGGCCAATGCTTGCCGGAGCAGATCCCTCTGCGCCTGGGGGAGGAAGGGGGCAACGGCGTTGCTGTTAAAAGTTCGGGCGTTGAGCCGCAGTCTCGCGGCGGACCGCGAGAACCAGCTCGCTGGAGAAGACGCGAGACATTCCGGGTCCGAACCCTCCGTCCCAGGCCAGGCGCCGGGGGACCATTTCCGGGAGGAAACGGGAAAACTTCCAAACGAGCTTCCAGCCCGGCGGCGGCTGTCCGTGTCTACCGCTGGCACGGAAGGTTTGTCCAGGGCTGCCCTTCGCCCGGGTGGGGGCGGGGGCGCTCGCAGAGACCTTAGACTGTTACGAAAAGTTCAACTGTAGAGCGGAACTAAGCCACGACAGCCGGGTTGAGCAGGCCCGTGGGGAACCGGAACGGCTCGCCAGCTACTCGAAGCAAAACGCGGTCCCGGCGAGCGAGATTCCATCGGGCGGCGTGGGCGTCACGTCGCCAACTGCTTCCTGTGGAGTTGCTACGGCGACCGCTGGCTGGGGAGTGACGTCATCGCGGCGCGCCATCTCGCGCCTCGCTGGCATCACATCCGAAACATTTCCGGCGCGCCGAGAGGCGGAGGGCGGGGCCGGCATCGCGATGGAGCCCGGGCGAGGCGGCGGCGGCGGCTGCAGAAGTGCGGCAGGCGGGCGCCCAGGCAGCAGGTGAGCGAGGGCGGCGCAGGGCGTCCGCGTCCCCTCCCGGCCTCCGAGCCTCTAACGCTGCTGGTTTCTTTGCCTCCGCAGGTGAGGCCCCCTTCCGCCAGCGAGCGCCATGCGGGCGGCCCAGGAACGCGGCCAGGGCCGCCTACCGCCCAAGAAGCGAGAGCTACCGGTGTCCGCCAGCGGGGGCGACGGCGACGAGCCGGGCAGGTCGGCCGAGCGCGATTCGGCGACGGCGGGGGAGGCCTCGTCGGAGCGGCCTCAGGCGGCGGCGGGCAAACCAGGTCGCGCGCCTTCGCGTTACAGCGAGCCCGGCGGTGATGACACCAGCGACGGCGACCACTCCAGCGAAACTGTGGCCAGCTTGACTGTGGACCAGTGCGGCTTCTACAAGGTGGCTGTGCCCCCGACCACCTTCGCCCCGGTGGTGAACGTGAGCCCGCTGCCTGCTGCTTATGGTCTGACCTCACAGCTGCTGCACCAGCATCGGCAGCATCCAGTAGTCCCCTATCCGCCCATCCATTACACGCAGCTCCCTGCCACCCCTTTGCAATTTGTGGGGTCGCATTACTCACTGCCCTACGCCGTGCCTCATGGCTTCCTCCCCAGCCACCTGCTGTCGTCTTCTGCTGGCCTCGCCACCTCTCATGTCCCTCACTTTGTGCCCTACGCACCAAATCTCCTGTCCAATGACCTGAGTCCCTCACAGGTGACCCACACGTTTGGCAAAACTTCTGCCTCCGTTTCACCCTCGGGCCCTCTGCAGCCTCATATCAGAGGCCACCTTCTGGACGTTTCGCAGGGTCAGATTCCAATTTATTACCAGATGTCCCATGTGCCAGCAGGTTACTCGGCATTTGAGGCTGCCGTTGGTCTGAACTCGGACCAACCTTTGCAGGAGAAGCAGCTTGATCCCAAAAGATTCACAATGAATGGGCCACAAAGGTCTGCTGTGGGGGCAAAGGAGAGCGAAGCTGAAGGGCAGTGGCCAAGGACTGTTGAAGAGTACAGTACAAGTACTCCGGTCTTGAGAATGGAGGTATCAGTGCCATCTCAGCCAAGTACCCCAGACCTTGAAGTGCAGAGGGTAGTGGGAGTTCTCTCAGAATATCCTATTTGTTCTGCTCAGCAGAAGGACAACTTCAGCCCTCTTAACCTGTCCCATCATAATGCTGCAGAGCAGAAAGAGGAGTCGGGGAGAAACCCGGTACAAGTTAATGCTGAGAAGAGCCATTTGCAAAGACTGTCTGCAAAGTCACCTGAGAAGCAACTCTGCTCTAGGCAAACGCTCAAAAGGTTGACCCTGGTCAATGGCAAATTAGTCTTAGGACCCCTTCAGCCTACAGTTCAGGAAGGCCTGGAAAGAGTGAGCCCTGACATAGCACCCCAAGAGGTGCAGCCGGAAACAGTTTTTGCCCACTCCCAGGGCCACCTGCCCTCCCACTTCATGAAAGGAGCCATTATTCAGTTGGCTACTGGGGAGCTCAAGCGAGTCGAGGATCTTCAAACCCAAGACTTTGTGCGTAGTGCAGAGGTGAGTGGCGGCCTCAAGATTGATTCCAGCACAGTGGTGGACATTCAGGAAAGCCCCTGGCAGGGCTTTGTGATGCTGCATTTTGTAGTTGGAGAGCAGCAGAGCAAAGTGAGCATTGATGTCCCCCCTGAGCACCCTTTCTTTGTCTATGGTCAAGGCTGGTCATCCTGCAGCCCAGAGAGGACTGCTCGGCTTTTCTCCCTCCCTTGTCATAAGCTTCAGGTGGGAGATGTTTGTATTTCCATCAGTTTACAAAGCCTGAATGGGAAGTTGGTTCCACAAAGTAGTTCTCGGGGCACTATCCAAGAGAAGCCAGAGCAGAGTGGGATAATCCTTCGGGAGCCACAAAGTCAGGTGAGGGAGAAGACTCCATTACAGAGGACAGTAGGAGTGTTAGACTTATCCCAGGAATCCTATCTAGAACCCATTTCTGTATATGGCTGGGCAGGTCCCAGCTTTCAAAAATTAGTGGAGGAGCCTCGTTTATCCCTGCTCCGCCCATCATTTATTCCCCAGGAAGTCAAATTGTCCATAGAGGGTCGTTCGAATGCAGGGAAGTGAATTCTGGTGGTGGGTGAACCAGTGCCATGCTGGATAGTCTGGCCATTAATCAGTTTCTCTTGATGCCGAAGAGATGTCCAGCTCCTCCAGCTGTGTGCCTAAACCATTCTACCGGCAGAACTTCTTCCCATCTTTCCCTGCATTCTGCAAGGTGAGATGAAGAGAGGGATCACCAGGTCCCTTAAGATGCAAGCACTTTAATTGGACACTTACTCATAGGTAGCAAGATGCTTTCAACGAGAGAAAAAGAGTCAGTATGGGAGCCAAGAGAATTGTCCAGTCTTCTGCTCAGGTCTTAGTCAAGATAGTTTGACTAATTGGTCTAGGCACTGCAGTAGTCCAGTTTGGGAGTCTCTGCGTCTCCTTAGGGAGATATTTGTATATCTTATTGTATTGAGAAGAAACATCTAGCAGTCCTGTTCAACAAATCTGCTACCCAGTGCATAGTTTTGTAACTGTTGCCACATAGAACTAAGTCCTTTTTAATAGGAGGGGAAGTAGAAGCAGAACAAGGATTTGTGCAGTATAAAGTGTATTGGCAGACCCCTTTGTTTGCTGGCTCTGCATCCATTCTGCTATAACATTCCTGCCCAGGTAATACTGTTCTTCCATGAAAGCTGCATTCCATTTCTCCCCTTGCTACCAGTACTTTCTCAAACATCCATTGCTGTATAGCTGCTGCTTTTGCAGGCATACAAAGGCTATGGTTGAGGAAAGTGCCCTTTATCAATTGCCAGCTTCAACAGAGACTAAAAAGGGGTAGTAGACTTTTATATTTTATCAATAAGTATAAATGGCAAGTGGCTAACAGTTTTAAGTCTGTTGCACTGAAAATGATGCAGAATTGCCTCATTTCATGGTGCCTTGCTGAGCATCTTCTTGTCTTGTTACTGTGCTCTTAGCTCTAGGCAGAAGTTTACTGTGTTGTCTGGTGTAATGATGACAAAATCTCCCCTCAAAACAGCTGTTACAACCGCCACTTCTAATAATTCTAAATGGATACCTTGGCTTATTTCTCATGGGTGGCTTCAATTCCACTGCTTGGCAATTCTGCTAGGTGCTGAGTGCTGAGTTTCTACATCGGCCCATCCCTAGCTCTCTAGATGAAAGGTGACCTTGCTTTCTCTGCCAGGTTCTTTGCTGTGTTCTCCTAAAGACCCTGGCACTTTGCACTATTCCTAACCACCTTTTGTCCAACATATCTGCCTTTCTTAACTTCCTCTCAGGGTCCCCTGAACTTCCTTTGTGTGCCTCCTGATTAATCTCTGTACTGAGTTCTCCCCTGTCTGATGCCAGATAAAGGGGCAGTAGTTTTATGGCTGCAAACAAGCTTAATCCTTTCAAAATGAGTAGTTATCTCCAGGCTGCAGTGCCAGGTGTCTATGGTTGCTGAAACTGAACCTCAGTTTTGGACAGCTCACCTATGTGGGTCCAAAGTTTTGTGTCTGTGTGGCAGACTGCTCACAATCCTGTTTTCAGAGGCATATTTCCGAGTGGACAAGACAGTTACAAGTTGCAGATGTGTAAGTCCCACAGAGACCTGAGAGAGCCAGCTACTTAGAGCAATAAGCTATTTCTCTCATGTGACACTACAGAAAGTTGTGCCCAATTCTAGCAATTGCAGGGGAGGCCTCCTAATACCCAATACTGTGGGATTGACATCTCCCTGATTGTCCTGTTGCCCATGAACCCTAAACAATTCATCTCTGACAGGGCATCTGTCAGATGCCATTTTCTCTTGGGAGTTGCTTCTGTTGCCCCTTTCTTCAAGGACACCTTAGCCTTAAAGGAGAGCTCCTTGAAGTGTCCATGAAAGGGGAAGCCTTTTGTTACCAATCATGATAGAGCCAGGGCAGGCCCACAAGAAACTCCTCTGAAGGTCCCTCTTCCTCCCTGGGACCTCTCCCATAGATAGCACCTTAGCTGGCAAGGACTGAATGCCATATGCTACCAGAGTTGTACATGTTGCAACCCTACAACAAATCATTATTTTCACTCTCTAGCCAGTGATATACTGGCAAACGCCTTAGGACTAGCCAAACCCCCAACTGCTTTTCTCCTCCCTGATCTTTAATGCTACATTACAGTCTAAGGAGGATAATCTATTTTATTGTGCTTTTTTTGTATCTGTTTTAAATAAATCCACATGTACTGTATATTTGTATTTGGCGTGAGATCCTTTTTCCTGTTTTATGATTTAATATTGCTGTAAACGCAGGCTGTATTTTTATTGTTAAGCTCTTCAAACGTGTTCATTTAACTTGGCTATAAATGGCATACACACATATTTATGCATGTGCACACATATACACACATGTATGTACTTAATAATATGCCAATAGTTTTTTTCTTTTGCTGTCTGTTTACCTTGTGGAGCAAATACTACCCTGGAAAGCCAAGTATAGCTCAGCATCATTTTGACAATTTAACGTGACTGTTAGTAATATTCACAGTAGGTTTATTAATGGAGAATGGGGTGCTGCACGGGGACAGATGAAGAACGCTCCTTCCCTAATTTTGCATTGCTTCCCCCATATTGGTAATACAGCTGGTCTTCAAATGTGACACATGGATGCCAAAGACATTCACTGGTTACTGCTGTCTTCTGTATAGTCTGTGCTCAGTGTGGAGGAGGAGGACTGGTGCTGATATGGTCAAAATGGGCAGAAGCAGCTCATCAAAACCTATGCAGTTCTCTAAGCTTATTTTACTGTTAGCAAGTAATATGTTAAGCCTGACAGCACTTAGGATTGTCTCCAAACAACTGAGTTTTTAAACAACGTTCTTAACAGTTTGCATATTTGTGTGACGGCCTAATAAAGACATTGCTGTAAGATGCATTTGGGGATTTTTCTTATAGCCAACAAAGCTCACTTGTTTCAAAAAACTGTCAAAAAAGTTGGTTCATGATGTGTTTGGATTTTTTTAGACTAGCCAATGTGAAAGCATTTAGGATTAAAAAAAACCCCTAAAAGGCTTAAATCCCAGATTGTGAACTAAAACATGGTAGACAGGAGATTGACTATCTGCTCATTCTTTAAAGAGAATAAATGTTTAATCTTTATATACCCACCTTTTTCAAGGAGAACATGAGTACTGTTTTGAAGACCTTACTGCCCAGAAGCCGGAGGAACTGTGTAATGAAGTCAAAGTTGTTAAAGATTAATGTGGAAAAAGCCTGCCAAAGATTACACAACAGAAGAAAGTAAACTGAATGGCAGAATAGACAGTGGAAATTGCCAAGGGAATATAAACCTGAGGGAGTTCATGAAAGAATTTAAGAAATTTGTTGGAAGAGATTAGTAGTATTGCCACATTGTAAAGATGTTGAAGATGAAACAGACATGCAGAAACAATGTTTTCCATAAGATCTGACCTCAAAAAGTTTCAATCTCAAATTGGTTTGCTTCAAGATGCAATTAACTACAAGTAATGATTCAAAAACTATCAAACAAAAGTGGAAGGAAATTCTGTATAGTAAGGATATTACTGTCTGAGAAGATATTCTCTATTTACAAGAACCTCTAGTGCTAAAGTACTGATTAAATTGCTAGGGATTAGACCACTATCTTAAGTTGGTAGCAATTAGTAAAGATTTTAATTGAACTACAGCAAATTTGGAGAATGCCAGTGAACACCAGGTTGAATGAGTTCATTCCACAAACCAGCACCAAAGATAGGAGAGTTAGTAGTGCAAACTGTTGCACAGTATTAATTTCACATTTAACAAAATAATTCTTAGGATTATCTAACAGATTAGAGCCCCGAATGAAACTGGAGAAGAAACATCAAGCACCTGTGCTATATTAATGACACTACTCCAATAACTAAAAAAAGAAATGTTCTGCAAACTCTAGTAATCAAAGTTAATTGGCTACAATTAAATATAAAGACCACCAAATTAATGATAATAGGAATAGGGGTCAGCCATAGAATTGCCAGTGAAGATCCTGAGGTATGGCTGATTACTTGTGCCTGCAGAGTAGCACTTGATAGGCAGCAATGAAGTCTTTGGAAAAAATGTTCTGATGTCATGATGTGTCTAGCTCATAATTAAAAGCTGGTTGGGTGACTTTGGGCCAGTCAAACTTGGCCCAACCCACAGGGTTGTGAGGAAAATACGGAGGAATATTAAGTATGCTCATTGAGTTGGGCACTTCTGTTTTACAAGGTGGGATTAAAAAAAACAATACAGGTAGTCTTTTTCCTGTGATGCTATGGATGTGAAAGATGGACTTTGAAGAAGCAGACTACAAAGACTACTAGTTGTGTGGAGCCAAGAGGAGGAGAGATGTAGTCTTGAGCCTTCCAGCTTCCCTCCTCAGACTGATGCAACCAGCACACAAGACCAGAAGCATGGAATACATGAAGTATTAATACCACTTTACAATGCCTTGGTAAGGCCACACTTGGAATACGGCATCCAGTTTTGGTCACCACGATGTAAAAAAGATGCTGAGACTCTAGAAAGAGTACAGAGAAGAGCAACAAAGATGATTAGGGGACTGGAGGCTAAAACATATGAGGAACGGTTTCTGGAATTGGGTATGTCTAGTTTAATGAAGAGAAGGATGAGGGGGGACAGGATAGCAGTCTTCCAGTATCTCAGGGGCTGCCACAAAGAAGAGGGAGTCAAGCTATTCTCCAAAGCGCCTGAGGGCAGGACAAGAAGCAACAGATGGAAACTAATCAAGGAGAGAAGCAACCTAGAACTAAGGAGAAACTTCCTGACAGTTAGAACAATTAACCAGTGGAACAACCTGCCTCCAGAAGCAGTGAATGCTCCAACACTGGAAGTTTTTAAGAAGAGACTGGACAGCCATTTGTCCGAAATGGTATACGGTTTCCTGCCTGAGCAGGGGGTTGGACTAGATGACCTCCAAGGTCCCTTCCAACTTTTTATTATTATTATTATTATTATTATTATTATTGTTGTTGTTGTTGTTGTCTCCTCCCTGCAACCCACCATTTCCACTGTGACCTGTAGCACCCAGAGAGCAGAAGCAATTTGCTAGCCACATTCCAGGTCCGCTGGCATAGCAAAAAGACCCAGTCCAAAGAGTTCATAGGGGAAGAATTCAATGCAGTGTGCTGGGGCTTGGCTCCTCAAAGGACATTTTGCTCAGCAACTGGCTGTCCAATTCCATGCCTCCTCCAGGGAGCGGGAAGAAGTTCATCTCGGCAGCCAGTGCTGCCATTGCCGAGGGATCCTGGCCAAACTGAGCACGCAGCATCATGTCCATTTTTTCTAGTCGCCGCTTCAGTCGCTTTGCTTCGCGCTCTCGGATGAGGCGAGCCTGCCGCTTCTCAGGGGTTTCATTGGCACGTTTGAGACGCATGGCTTCACGATCCCTCTGCAAGCGTCGTGCACGTTGCTCATCTGTTTCCTGCATCCGTTGCAGGCGCTTAGCCTCCCTGTCCCGCATACGCCTCACTTCTCGCTCCTCTGGTGTTTCATTGTCCCGACGGCTTTTCTTCGCTGTACGTTCTCGTTCTAGGCGCTGCAGCCTTGCTTCTAGAGGTTCATTCTGCCGACGTAAGGCCCACTTGCGCACCCCTGGGGCTTGAGCTTCCAGAAGTTTGCGGTAAGCCACACAGCTGTTGCACACAAGGAGGAGGCCAGCAGGATACACAACAGGGCCAAGAGCAGCAGCTTTCTCTTCGGTGCTAGAAGAGCCCTCTGGGGGAGGAGCAGGCAAGGAATCTCCAGACAATACCTCCGGCACCTTCTCACTACAAAAAAAAAAGAATCAGCAAAGGCAAGAACTCTCTTGAGTCAGCCTCATGGCCTGTGTGTCCTCTGGAGATTAACCATGAATCCCTGAGGGAAGTAATTAGCCAAAAGATCTCTCGGGCGAAGCTTCTCCACCTTCCCCCAAGGTTCCATTAGGATATCCTATAGCAACTTGGGTCACACTGGCCAAGAACCACCAAAATAAGACTTCCGACTTCCTTCTGCCGCAGTTTCTCACCTGTTGAAAGTGGCGTGGCTGGTGAAACGTGCCCCGCATACTGCACAGTTGGATAGCTGGTCCTCAGAGTGGATGAGGAGATGCCTACCCAGTGACCCCGGGGAGCTGAGTGCTCGGCTGCAGACAGGACACAGGTAGCTCTTGGCACTGACTGCAGCCGCTGTGTGCTGCAAACGAGGCCAGGCTGTGAGGTAAAGGCTCAATTGCTCTGTCCCTACAAGGGTAGGCTGAAACCAAGCCATGGAAGAAATCCCTCTTCCTTGGGACTGAAGGAGAGATACCCACAAGGCATTCCCTAAGATGGCTGATGAAATGGCATCCCACAAATACGACATCTTTCCCAACCAGAATGAGAAAACTCAGCCTGGACAGAAGCAAGGGCAGGGCAGTCAATTGGCAGAATGGCCTCAAGATAGATACCTGGTACACGTGAGTCACGAGCTGTTCCCTGCTGCCACATTCTAGTTGACAAAGAGGACAGCGGGAGAGTCCCATCAAGGCATCTGGATTAGTGCTGAATCCCATCTATAAGAGAGAGAAGGAAAAAAGGATGCTTAATCTGTGGTCTGTCCTGTGCACATTCTTGAGCGAGCTTTGAAAGCCAGAGTGTCTTTTTTCCCAACCTCATTTGAAGGGTTTTTCCACCTGGCTCTAGCAAGTTAGACTTCCTATTTTCGTAGCCTAATCAAAGGTCAAAACCCCAAGTCATGCAGCCTATAGATCTACCTTTGCTAGGCTGGTATGAACAAGATGAACATGAAAGCTACCCCATCAAAAGTCTGGGCTGGCCAGTATTTGGGGAAGCCCCTTGGCTTCACTTCCCACACAACCTGGCTACGGGTGGGGGAGGAGCACTTGCCTCTTGGGCTTGCATCCCGAGATTGCGCTGCCCAGGCTGCTCCGCCGACCCCTGCTCCTTTTTCACCGCAGCCCCCCCTGTTCCATCCTCCTCAGAAGCCGGCGAAGAGGCCTCATCCTGGGTGGTCTCTTCCTCGCTCTCACCTGCAACGCAAGCCGTGGCTCGGGAGGGCGGGCGGGCCAGCAGAGCGCAGCTCTCCCCCCCCCCGCGCCAACCCGGCGCGCCCCGCCCGCCAGCGGAGGCAACTCACTGCTGCTGGAGGCTCTCCCCGGCGGGGGTGGCGGCGGCGGCGGCTCCTGCCCCATGACGGCAGGCTGGACGCCTTGCAGCACTGGGAGGCTCTTCCTCATGGCCGCCCGCCGCTTATGCTCTTCCAGGCCGGCCAGGACCTGCTCCCCTGCAGACAAAAGCGGCAGGGCGGATTACCCGGGCCGCCCTTCCAGCCCGGAGGCGCCGCGGCCCCCGGGAAGCGGACGCGGAGGGGCTGCCCGGCCGTCCCCGCCCGCCAGCGCCGCCACGGCCACGGGCGCTGATCCGGCGCGGAAGGCGGGCGCTGGNGTGCACGGGGACCGGCCGTCCGTCGGGCGCGCGCCGAGCTGGAGCCTGCCTCCGACGGCGGGACGCGGCTCCGGGTTGGTGGTAGGGCAGCCGCCGCCAGGCGCTCGGGTAGGGCGCGGGGAGGCCGGCGCCCTGCGCAGAGCCGGAGGGAGTCACGGCCTCTCCCCGGTGGCGCTCGAGCGCCCCCGGCAGCCGCCCCCGCCGCAGCATCTACTGGAGGGCGCCGGCCCAACACAGCGCCCCAGGCGGGGCAGGTGTGAAGGCGTCCCCGCCACCGGAACCCCGCACCGGGAGCCGAGGGAGCCGCCGGGGCACTGAGGGCGGTGACGCAGAGCGCCCGTTCCTGCTTCCGTTCCCCTGCAGGAGGCGCTTTCCGCCCCCAAGGCCGGCGCGCGGCGCCGCTTCTTTGGCTGCTTCCGGCGTCCGCTTGCGTACTTCCGTGCTGCGGCCCAGTCAGAGGTGAGGCGTTTCCCTCTCTGCCGCCCGCGAAGCCCCTTCTGGGCCCCTGGAGAGCCCCCGGCGGGGAGGAGAGCCGGCCCAGGGCCCGGAGGAGTTCGCTGCGGGCGGCGTTTCGGCCCAAGCAGGCCGGAAGCGGCCGGCGTCGCCTCTTCGGGTCCTTCCCGGAAACGGCGGGGTGGCGGGCGGGCGGCGCAGGTCTCGGGCGCGGCAGACCAACGTTTTCCGTCTTGCCCTCCAGTTGCGGGACTGATCGGGATGCTGGGCTCCGGGTTCAAGGCTGAGCGCTTGCGCGTCAATCTCCGTCTCGTCATCAATCGTCTGAAGTTGTTGGAGAAAAAGAAAAGTAAGCGGAGGCGAATCTGAAGCAGCCTCCCCCGCCGCCCCTTCGGTGTCCGGCTGCCACGTCCTTGGGGTGGCGCGACGGGAAAAGGGCTCCTTGGCCCCGAAGGCGAAGCGTGCTGAGGGGGACTGTGGTACTTCCCGCCTGGCCCTTTCGCCCCGGGGGAATCCCAGGGCAGACTGAGCGATGACTTTCCTCTTCCCTATTTTACAGCTGAATTGGCCCAGAAAGCCAGGAAGGAAATTGCTGATTATCTTTCTGCTGGCAAGGATGAACGGGCTCGCATCCGTGTGGAGCACATTATTCGGGAAGATTATTTAGTGGAGGCCATGGAGATCTTGGAGTTGTATTGTGACCTGCTTTTAGCTCGTTTTGGCCTCATTCATTCAATGAAGTAAGGCTCAGGTAGCAGAAAGAAAACTCTGGGAGAGGAAAGGCAGTGTTCTGGCGTCCTTTTCAGACAAAGACCTGCTTTTTGAGAGAGAAAGTGTTTTGGACCTATGTATTGCATAACTTGATATTGTTTCTGCAGGGAGCTGGACCCTGGCCTGGCAGAAGCTGTGTCTACCCTCATCTGGGCAGCTCCTCGACTACAGTCAGAAGTAGCTGAACTGAAAATTGTGAGTAGTACTAGCTATGTGAGAGAAAGCGGACTCTGGGTTATTGGCCAATTTTCTGAAAGGTTCAAGACAGTTTGGCAGAACAGTCTGCTTTCTCTTCACTTTCCTTTGAAGTGAAGATAGTATAACTCTTTCCAAACCTCTTGAGAATTTTCTTGATTTTCTTGATATTTAAAATTGGTTCCTCTGCCTCTAAGTTTAGGCCTTCTGATCTGGAAAGAGCCGTAGTGTTTCTGTGCTTCACTTTACAGATAGCCAATGAATTTTTAATTGTGCTGTTTCTGTGCTAGGTTGCTGATCAGCTATGTGCCAAATACAGCAAGGAATATGGCAAGTTATGCCGAAGCAACCAGATTGGAACAGTCAATGACAGGGTGAGAATGGGGAGAGCCATGCAATTGATGGTCAGATGGCTATATAAAGTGTATCTCAAAAACAAGTTTTACAGAGTAGGAATTTTGATGATGCATACAAAGAAGCAATAGCAAGTATCTTCTTAGAATTTTGTATTTTTCTTTTTTGGGTGATTCCTGATAAAAACTGTCAGCCCTGCTTAGCTGTGGAGGTAACAAACTGTTTTTCCTCCTCCCTGCTTTCTAGTTAATACACAAACTGAATGTAGAAGCACCTCCTAAAATCCTGGTGGAGAGATACTTGATTGAGATTGCCAAGAACTATAATGTGCCCTATGAACCAGATTCAGTGGTCATGGTAAGTAGAAGTGCAGGAGGCTTTCTCACTTTAGTGTGATGTGGAAGGTCTGTTGGCTGCCACAGTTGTGTGAAAAAGAGTGAAACTTTCACTTTGCCTGTATTAATATTAGTTTTGGAGCTTGAGTATTAGTAATCTACAAATGGAGTCTCAGAGAACAAATAGTGCCAATATTTGATTTAAGCTTCTTTTATTTTCATAAACATGTCAGAATAGAAAAATAATTGTGCCTCCCCTTCACTCAACCAAGTTAAAGGGGAAGGCTATAGCCAGTTGTGTGAGTAAAATCAGGACTGCTTTGGAATAATCTTGTCCTAAAGAAATCTCAAAACCTCTGCTTGCCCGATCCCAATGAATTTTTCACTATATACATTCACGTCCTGCTGAAAAGAAATTGCTTAAAATGACATCAGTCTGGGAAAAGGTTCCAAACAATATCTGAAGTACTATATGCTATATGCTATATATATACTATATGCTCCAGCCGTTTGTGGTTTCCTGATCTAGCCTTGAACTGGAGAAGACAATTTTTGTAAGAATAGTTATGTTTTAAAAATTCCTCCCAAGAATGCAACATAAAAGCCACACCCAGTTTTANTGCGCAAAATCCTCTGCCCTCCCCTCCAGGGGGTCCCCCCCCCTCCAATTGAAGGAGAGAGCGGGTCACCCTGAAGAGGGCGGCCGGGCGATTATCTGATGACGCAATGAGTGAGGCATAGTAGTTAGTCCTAGCCTCCCTCATCGCCACAAGGTAGGATCTAAGATGTATCCTTACCTGTGCTCGGTCGGATTCGGTTTGGCTGGTCCTCCAACTGCTCTCTAGGCGTCTTTTCCGACGTTTCATCTCTCTCAGCCCCTCGGTAAACCAAGGAGATGGTCGAGATCCACGTCGGGTCAGAGGCCGCAAAGGCACGACTCGGTCCAATGCTGCGGCAGCAGTTGTCTCCCAGGCCGCCGCCTGATTTTCCGCCGAGTCGTGGACTAGATCTTCCGGATATGGCCCAAGCTCCATCAGGAACCTCTCAGGGTCCATCAGTCGCCTGGGACGGAACCATCTAGGTGGTTCCGTCTCCCTGCGGCGAGGGGGAGCGGTCCGGAAAACCAACCTTAGGGATCTGCATGCCTGTCAATAACCTCCAGATTCTGGAGAAACTCTCTGTGTATAGATAAATCAGAACATCTGGTGGAATCCAAATTCTCCAATTAAATCTTATGCCTTAAGATTATCTTAATCACTTTATTAGGTGTCATCATTTGGTGATAGTTTGCTACTGAGATCATTTACATCAGGGGTCCACAACTCCTGGTCTGTGGACCAGTACCATGTTGCGTTCGCACAAACAAGCAAACCCCATCCGTGGGATGAAAGCAGCACACAAAACCACACACCCTCTGGTCCAGGGAATAGCCTCTCTCCATTGAACTGGTCCCTGGTGCCCAAAAGGTTGGGGACCTCTGATTTACACCAGGAAAGCATGAATTCTGATTCATATCAGAATTCTATGAAAAATTCAAGAATTTCAGGCCATTTTTCTAAGTCCCGTGGCAACAGTGATCCACAGAAGCAAGTCTACAAGATAGAATAGAATAGAATAAAAACTTTATTCACTTTAAATATACACAAATCAGCATTCAATAAAATGAAATTTCATTGCATTCAGCTCTAAAAAAACCCATTATGTATATGCCCACATACACACACATATATGACACAGAGAAATACCAGTCTAGTTCGAATGTATACATATTCATGGGGGGGGGGGGAGAATCCTGCGAATTTACAAGACAGATGGCATAAGGAACAAAGCTATTATAAAAGCTAGTAGTTCTGCTATAAATACTTGGAAACCTTCTCCCAGAGGGGAGCAACAGAAAAAGACCATGAAGTGGGTATGTGGGGTCTCTAACAATGCTTCAAGCTTTAAGCATATAGTGCTTATAAGTAGCCTGAATAANGCGTCACATGGGAGCGACGAGTCCCTCCCAACACCGCCCGCGCGGCCGCATTCTGGACCAGTTGAAGCCTCCGGGTGCTCCTCAAGGGGAGCCCCATGTAGAGAGCATTACAGTAGTCCAGGCGGGAGGTAACGAGGGCATGAGTGACCGTGCGCAGGGCGTCCCGGTCCAGAAAAGGCCGCAACTGGTGGATCAGGCGTATTTTGATGTGGCCAAGTCAAAGCCAGATCCAAACCCCATAGAAATATCGTGGCAGGTTTAAAATCAGCAGTTCATATTAGAAAAACTCAGCTATTACTGCTCTGAAGCAATTCACCATAAAGGAATAAATAAAATAAACCAGAATTCCTACACAGTGATGTGAGAAACTGGTCAGTGGTTAAGGAAGTACTTGGTTGCACTAACTGCAGCTAAGGGTGAGGTAACCAATTATTGAGTCGTGTGGACAACTACTATTTTGCAGTAGTATATCATGATGGATGATCTTAGGTAACGAATGAAACAAGTAAAATAGTGTTACTTCATTTAAAATGTCATTTAATGTTTTACTAGGGCACATGAAACTCTTAACATTCAGCCGCAAAGATATACAAATGTTCAGAAAAACTCAAAAGAAGCAAACATTGTTACAGAGTTGTATTTCTTTTTATTTAATCAATATGTATAGCCACCAATCTGAAAAAAATGACTGTACACTAGCAGTATCTTTCCTGGTTGTGAGATTGAGCCATCTCGTTTCTCAGGCTGAGGCTCCTACAGGTGTAGAAGCAGATCTGATTGATGTAGGATTTGTGGATGACATCAAGAAAGGTGGAGGTAACAGCGGTGGCTTCATGGCCCCTCTACCTGGTCCTGAAGGAGTCATGCCCCTGCCGATGCCATCTCCAGTTCCTTCTTTCTCCTACCCACATCCGAAGGGGATGGTAATTAAATCTCAATTCATGCAGGGCTCTGGAGGTGGGTAGTTTTGTTTTTGTCTTATTGCCGGCATGTACGTTTGCAGCAGCTTTTCTTTCTTGAACATGCTGCCTACTTAATCTCTCAATGAGCTGCATCTGCTTTGGCTAACGAGCATTCTAATTTCTGCAGGAGAGCTTCAATGGGCTACCTGTGGGTACCTACCAACCATTCACTGGCCTTCACCCTCCTCCGATTCCAGCAATTCCTCCAACATATGAATCTGTAAGTGTCATCCAAGAAAAATGTAGTCCTCTAAAACTCTGCATGAAATGAAAAACACATTTCACATCTGACCCAAAAAAAGTCATGTTCCACAAATTCTACCTAACTGTTTAAGTCTGGCTGCAGTTTGGCAGAAACTAAATTTAGAATCTGAGACAGGAAGACAGCATATTGCTTCTCCCCCCCCCCCTTTCCTTTGCATAGCCGTCTTCCCAGGGGCCTACGTGGAACAGCTCACACCAGACAGTTGTGTATATTCTTAGTGTCCTCTGCTGCTGAGAATTGGGGTTAAGGCTTTGGTCAAGCATTAGTTGTGAGATGCCTTTTCTGTGGGTGCCAAAGTTGCTTTTCAGAACTTCCCCTTTGATTTGCTGTTTACCTGCCTTCATGCTTTGGTCCCTTCCAACAGTGATGAAATATTTTCCTAGAGAAAAAGAGACTGGGTTCCCTGCGCCCTCTCCCCATTGCTTTTCTGTCCCACCTAGCAGCAGAGCTTTGGGATTTGATTCTTGAGGTGGAGAAAAATATGCTTCTGAATCCTCCCAGCCTATGCAAATAAACAAAGGTGTTTAGTGTGCTGCATGCCAGGACCTTCTGCCAAATACATTTGTGCCTGTTTCAGGTAGATGATGGGAATACTGACAAGGAAGTGCCGTCCTTACATGTTGTGACTGGTAAGTCCAGAGGAGGTCAGGGAACACCAGCCGAGGCCTTGCTTGTCATTCTGGTAAGACACACTGAGCTGCTGCACTTGGCTCGGGGTGAAGTGGCAGCAGTTTGATTTCTCCAGAGCTGTGGAAGCTCATACCCTGCAACACAGCCCTGGGAAGCCTCAAAAGCACCAGCATTCTTGTTAAAGGATACAAGAGAAAATACAGCATGCTACGCTAGGCAGGCTGCTGGCATGTAAAAATGAGTCTTCTATTGTTTGGGCATTGTTCCTGCTACTCCCTGCCCAAGGCTTGCAATGTCTCTTCATCTGCCCTCTGCTGCAGGTCCCCACGTAACGCCAGAAGCCAAGGGGCAGCCACCAGTCCCCATGCCCCGTTCAGGTGATCGCTTTGTGTTGCCAGAGTTGCCATCTGTGCCAGATACACTGCCTGCTGCTTCTGCTGGCACCAGCACATCTGCCTCAGATGAGATTGACTTTGATGATCTGTCCCGGAGGTTTGAGGAGCTGAAGAAGAAAACCTAAGAGCTACATACTCTGTCGCTGCAATGGGTGCTCTTTCTTCACTTCCTTGTCTTCTTGGCCTTTCTTCTTGCTCTACTTACACCAAATTGTGCTGTTTTGGAGGGCTCTTTGGGGCCCCTTTCAGTGGGGAGCAAGAAACCTCTCCCCTATGCCTCAGTAGCCCTAGATAATCTCTTCTCTGGAGTGGGGTGTGGAGGTGATGCCAGTAGCATTTCCTTTCGACAGAAGACAGCACAGCCACTGCAGTAAGATGGGTCTAGACAGCCTGATGGAACGGGCACACCCTTGCCTTCTGGGCATATTCTGTGGGAAGGGCTGCTTAAGGCCTGTGCTTGCTTGATGCAGTTATGGCTTTTCTCTGGGAAAGGAGGCCAAAGCCAAGTCTACCCTGAGGGTCCTGCTGATGTGCATGAGGTGGGGCAGAAGAGTCAGGTACATGCTGTGAAGCAAACCAATTTTATACCTGGCTCAGAGATTAGAAAAGACTCCCTCAGTAGGGTATGGCAAGCTGGGTATGGGACCATCATTTGACATTTAGGTCTGCAGCCCCCGACTAGTCCATGTTTGGCCTATGGGACAAAGCCATAGATGGCAGCATCACATAGTCACATCTGCTGCTATAATGCCCAGAGGAAACCTGTTTTCTCATCTAATGCTTCTGTATGTAATATGTTCACATGGCTTTTCTGGAACAATTTTGATGGTTGATTCCTTCTCTGTTCTGAATAAACAAATGTGATCTTCACTGAGTCTGTCTTGGCGGATATAATCTGATACAGGAGTACTATCAGAGGAGGAGATCATGCTGTTTTCCAGTGGTCCCTTTCAGCCTCTGGAACAAGTAGAAAAATGGTTGATCCTCATTGTTGTCCAGATGTATTGTCATAACTTGCATGTAAGTTAAGGAAAGAATATGACTGCAAGAAATTACAGAGACTGAACTGGATGCTGAAATGGCTAAGATTCCCTTCAGGGGTTGCTTGTTCCAGATGTTATTTTATAATCAATGGAGCTAATGATGCCCCCTGATGTTTGGGTGGGGAAAAGTATTCCCCAGATTGGTATAACTCAAACTCATTTCCTGCACCAGGTGAGAAGAGTCTGCAGGGGATTATTGGATTTTCAAACTTTCTGTGTACAGAAATTAACTTTGTTTTTAAAAATGGGAGAAATAGAATATCTGTTTGTCAGGGTACTTGGGACTCCTTTTTTAGTCTTTCTGGTTATGCTATGTACATTAATGCTTTCTCAGATCCCTAGATGCGTGTGATGTTTTAACTCAAAGATGGTTGAGAGCTTATGGAGGTATTTCTATTTACAAAGCTAGACTTTTCCATAATTTGAATTCCTGAGTGTCTCAGAATGGCTGCATGGCAAGAGCCAAGCAGATCTTTACCAGATTTTTCATAGTATTCAGAAAAAGGAAAGGTGGTGATAGACTTGGTATTGAACTTGTAGGCAAGTTTTGAACAGGTAATTGAAATAGTAGCGTTGGCTGAGTATAACGTTGCTAATTGAGAAATGAATCTCTTACCGAAAACTAAAGGAAGAGTAAGTATAGTAAAAAGTGCTAAAACGAAAACAGGCGAAAATGCTGGATTGGAAGCGGGCGGGTAGGCCAGGCGTAGGGAGGGAGTGGGTCTCCGGTGAGGCTGAGGGCGGGCTGTGCTGGGGAGCATCGCGGCGGTGGACGTCGGCCGCTTCCTCGGGAGCTCTTCCTGACTTGCACTGAAGGGAAACGTGTTCGGGGCTGCTTTCCCCGGGAAGGAGCCTGAACCTTTGCCCAGAACGCGGGAAGAGAAGCGAGCCGCGCTCTCGGCTGGGAACCCCGAGGCTCTGCGGCTTCGCGGCGGGAGGGCCGCGGCGTCCCCGGACCCTTCGCGCATGCGTCGGAGCCTCCCGTCCCCTCCCTCGAGTCCCCGCCATGGCCGCTGCGGCGCTGCAGGTGAGCAAGGCCCCCGTCCGCCCCGGGGCTGCCGAGGAGGCGGGCCGGGCCTGACGCTCCGCTTCTCTCCCCGCAGCGCCTGAAGGAGGCCGCTCTGGTGCTTGGGGGCGGCGGCCTGATCTTCGCCGCGCACCTGGCCGCGAGGGGTGACGAGCGCTTCTACCGCCAGTGGCTGATGCCGGGCCTGCAGCGCGTGGTGGGGCCCGAGACCGCCCACCGGCTGGCGGTGCGCCTGCTCGCCTTGGGCCTCGCGCCCCGGCCCGGCCCGGCCGACTCGGAGCTCTTGGTACGGAGGGAGGGAGGGGGAGGGGGAGGGGGAGGGGGCGGCCGGGCCGGGCCGGGCCTGAGCTTCTCTCCCCCGGGACTCCCCTTAGGAGGTGCGGGCTTTTGGGCGGCGATTTCGGAACCCGCTGGGATTGGCCGCTGGCTTTGACAAGCACGGGGAGGCCGTGGACGGGCTCTTCAAGATGGGCTTCGGCTTTGTGGAGGTGGGGAGCGTCACGCCGGAGCCCCAGGAAGGCAACGCCAAGCCGCGGGTCTTCCGGCTGCCCGAGGACCAGGCCGTCATCAACAGGTGGGCGCTGCGGGGGAGAAGGCGGGGCTGGAGCACCTCCGCTAGTCCGGCGGAGGGAAGGCCCCCCCGCCCCCCTGAAGCTCTTCTGCCCACGCAGGTACGGCTTCAACAGCCAGGGCCACGCGGTGGTGGAGCGCAGACTCCGAGCCCGGCAAGCCACTCAGCGCCAGCTCAGCGAAGGTGAGGCGGCAGCACCACCGGGCCTTTGGGGCAGTCTAGGGATAGCTAGGTTTCTCCTGTCCTGATTGTTTGTTTATTCACATTTTTGAACTACTCATCTCCTTCAGGGAGGGACTGGGTGATATACAGCAACACGTTAAAATATAGAAGCAGCATATAGAAATTAAAAGTTTAGAAAATAACGAAATAGCAGAGTTGAAGGGACCTTGGAGATCTTCTAGTCCAGGGCTTTTCAACCTTTTCACCGATTGTACCACTTTTAGAATATGGCAACATTCGAGTACCACCAGTCACCTAGCAAGGTGTCAAAAACTTGACGAAACAAAAATGGAAAAAAGTGATAAAAGTATAGGTAGTCCTTGACTTATAACAGTTTGCTTAGTGACTGTTCAAAGTTACAACAGCACTGAAAAAAGTGACTTATGACCATTTTTCACACTTATGACCATTGCAGCATCCCCAGGTTCATGTGATTTACATTCAGATGCTTGGCAACCGATTCATATTTATGATGGTCACATTGTTCCAGGGTCATGTGATCACCTTTTGTAACCTTCTGACTAGCAAAGTTAGTGGGGAAACCAGATTCACTTAAGAACCATGTTACTAATTTAATCTCTCTCTCCCTCTTTCTTTCTCTATTTCTCTCTCCCTCTTTCTCTCTCTCCCTCCCTTTTTCTCTCGTTCTCTCCTTCTCTTTCTCTCCCTCCCTCTTTCTCTCCCTCTCTTTCACCCTCTTTCTCTCCCTCCCTTTCTCTCCCTTCCTCTCTCTCTCCCTTTCTCTCTCTCCCTCTCCCTCCCTCCCTCTTTCTGTCCCTCTCTCCCTCTTTCCCTCTCTTTCTCTCTCCCTCTCTCCCTTTCTCTCTCTTCCTCTCTCTCCCTCTTTCTCTCTTCCTCTCTTTCTCTCCCTCTCCCCCTCCCTCCCTTCCTCTCCCTCTTTCTTTCTCCCTCTCTCTTTCTTCCTCTCTTTCTCCCTCTCTCCCTTTCTCTCTCTTCCTCTCTATTTCTCTCTCCCTCTTTCTCCCTTTCTCTCTCCCTCTCTATTTCTCTCCCTCTCCCCTCTCTCCCTTCCTCTCTCTTTCTCCCTCTCTTTCTCCCTCTTTCCCTCTCTTTCTCTCCCTTCCTCTCTATTTCTCTCCCTCTTTCTCTCTTTCTCCCTCTTTCCCTCTCTTTCTCTCCCTTCCTCTCTATTTCTCTCCCTCTTTCTCTCTCCCTCTCTCTCCCTCTTTCTCTCCCTCTCTTCCTCCCTTTCTCTTTCTCTCTCCCTTTCTCCCTTTCTCTCTCTCCCTCTCTTTCTCTCTCCCTCTCACTCCCTTTCTCTCTCTCTCTCTCCTTCTCTCCCTTTCTCTCTTCCTCTCTATTTCTCTCCCTCTCTCTCCCTCTTTCTCTCTATTTCTCTCTCCCTTTCTCTCTCTCCCTCTCTTTCTCTCTCTCCCTCTCTCCCTTCCTCTCTCTCTCTTTCTCCCTCTTTCTTTTTCCCTTTCTCTCTACCTCTCTCTTTCTCTCCCTCTTTTCCTCCCTCCCTCTCTCTCTCCGATCGAGGATCGATTTGGAGGTGCAGAGGGGAGGGGAGTGGCCAAGGGCTGCCCAGCAGCCGGGACCAAGCGGCCAATCGCCTTCCCAGCAGCCGGGACTCTGGCGCACCTTCCCGGCCAACGGGGCCTACGGTAGCACCAGGATCGCGTGGCTCCCTAGGAAAGGGAAGTCCTGGCCGCACTTCTCGGGGAGTGGCCGAGGGCTGCCCATGTGACCTTGAAGCGGCCACCTTTGGAAGTACCAGCGCTGCTCCAGCCAGGCTCGAGCCGGGCAGAGCAGGCGATGGGAGAGGAGTGAGCATATCGCCTTCCCGGCAGCCGAGACTCCGGCGCGCCATCCCAACCAGCGGGGCCTATGGTAGCGCCGGGATTGTGCGGCTCCCTGGGAAAGGGACTTCCTGGCCACACTTCTCAGGGGGTGGGGCGCCTGGGCGCAGGGCCAATCAGGAGCCCCCGCGAGGGGCCAAGCCTGCATGAAGAGCCATGCCCTTTCTGTGGGGGAGGGACACGATGAGGGAGCCAACCAATCGCGGGACGTAGATTCTGACGGGCGGCTGGCCTGAGCCGAGGCGCTGGCGATCGCATCGAGCCGCCGCCGTGGCCCGATGAGATTGCGCTGCGCCTGACAAGCAGCGCGTAATGGCCAATGAGTGCCTGGTGGGGGCTGGTGCTTAAGAGGTGGCTACTGAGTGTGCGGCACCATTGTGGCTGTCAAGCCTCGTGGGCTCGATATTCCTACGAGGGAGGGGGCCCATGAAGCTGGCTGCCGAAGCATGCAGCCGGCCGCCAGAAACGCCACACAGGAGGCTGACAGCAGCCTACCAGGCGGTGTGCGGGACTCGGGCGCACCCCAGGACTGCCTGCCGGCGCCTAGTTAGAGCAGCTGGCCGGCGCTCCGTTGCGGCCAGCTCCAGCGGCCGCAGGGATTCCCTGGCGTCATGGAACAGGCGCGGCAACGTCACTGATGGGCGGGGCATCCCGAGGCCGCCGCTGGCGCTTGGTTTAAGCAACTGGCTGGCGCTCTGTTGTAGCCGGCTCCGCCGGTGGTGGCAGGAATCCCCCACAGCTTGCGGTTTCTGCTGCGATGCCCGGATCGGTTTCCCAGCGTGCGGGTGTTGGAATATTCAATCGGTATTGGGAGCGGAGCTCAGTGAGCCTGGAGCAAGGGAGCAGCCCCCCCCCGCCCACAGCCGGCCCCCGAGTCACCGTTCTGATCAGCATCAGCAAAACAAACGTGGGCCTCGATTCCACCTGCTGTTGCGGGATGAGTCCTCCGGGAGGGTGCGCGCTGTCTGGCCGCTTTGCTTTCCCCTCTGTAAAGCTGGGCACCTTGGGAAGAGGAGAGGGGGAAAAGACTCGAGTCCCGGGAGGCAACGTGAGGGCTGTGAGTGGTATTGCAAGCTCGCGGGAGGGGGGGGAGAGGAAAAGAAAATTGAAGAGAGTGAGGCCGCAACAGAGAGAGAGAGAGAGAAGAGGGAAAAGAAGGAGGGGCGGTTGTGAGGTTGGCGCTCAGGGCTGCGACGCGAGAGGTCTCAAACACCTACCTGCGAGTGGATGGATCTGTTCCCTTCAGGCTCGCACTTACTTCTGAAGTGAGAAGGGGGGGGAAGGGCAACACGGATCCTGCACAAGGAGTCCCTGGGGAGGGTAGGGCCTTGCTCTGCGCCTGCGCTCTTCGTGGACAAGCAGCTTGTTTTCAATTTCAACAAGCAAGTGAGCTGTGAAGGAGGGGGGGAGGAAGGCGAAACTGCGAGGGGGGGCGGGGGGAGGAAGGCGACGCCGCGCACCACCAGCCAGGTGGTTGCGTACCACTAGTGGTACGCGTACCACCGGTTGAAAAACCCTGTTCTAGTCCAAACTTGTGCTAAAGCGGGAGACCCTATACCAGGGCTCCCCAACCCCTGGGCCGCAGCCCAATGTCAGGCTGCAGCCCATTGAGAACTGGGCTACGCAAGCAGTCCGTGACTGCACGAAGTTGCACTTGTGCAAGTGGCGCATGTGCCAAACCATCCCCTCCCCATGTTGCTACCGCCGGTCTGCAGAGCTGGAAAGGCTGAGGACTGCTGCCCAGACCATTTCAAACAAATGGCTGTCCAATCTCTTCCTAAAAAACTCCAGTGATGGAAAACTTCTGGAAGCAAGCCATTCCACTGATTAATTGTTCTAACTGTCAGGAAATTTCTACTTATTCCTAAGTTTGTTAGAAATTTGGAACTAAAAGGAGGCAAGGACAGTTAAAATCTTCTAGAAATTAGTTTAAAAGGTGAAGGGAGGGCTCTTGGTACCATCCAGCTCCACAGGTATGTGCTCCTCTGAGGTCTCCATGCAAGGCCACAGAGCTATGTTTTTCCTTTGTGGAAGGCCAGGAGAGCGGAAGTCTATTTCATCTCCAGAGGGAGGATATTCCACAGGGCAGGGCAGGGGCAACAGCAGAGAAGGGTCTCTTCTTAGATCCCACCAGTCGGATTTCTTTAATTGACAGGTCTATAACATACCTTTGTTGCTGACCAGATGGGACGGGCTGATGTAATGAGACAAAGTAGCCTGGGCCCATGCCACGTAGGACTTTATAAGTCACAACCAACATCTTGAATTGGACCTGGAAGAAAACAAATCCAATGCAACTCGTGGAACAAAACTATTACATGCACTGTTTTTGGATATCCAGAATTTGTGCTGACGGGAGCAGAAGGGGGGAGGGGCTTTGAGTAATGTTTTCATTAACTAGGAGTGCCTTTAATTAATGTTTGTTGTTTGAGGTAACAAACAAAAATGTGATTTCTGATAAGAACCAGTTCAGACTTGCTAAAGGCAAGAGGTGTGCAAAGTCTAGTAACTTGTGAACTGATTATAATGTGAGAAACACACCTCCTGAATATGAAATTGAGCATTAACAAGATCATACTGAGTACTATGGGATGCTATGAAATGTTATATGGTACATATAAAGCTACTGAGCATGCTCGCAAGATTACAGATGAGTTAAATGATACTAACCAATGAAACACAAAATGTTTGAAATGTATATAGTTAGTCCTCGACTTATGACCACAATTGAGCCCAAAATCAAAACATTTGTTAAGTTAATTTTTGACCCATTTTATGACATTTCTTGCCACAGTTGTTAAGTGAATCACTGCAGTTATTAAGATAGTAACACAAGTGAATCTGGCTTCCCTATGGACTTTGCTTATAAGAAGGACACAAAAGTTGATTGCATGACACTGGGACCGTAATAACTTTGAGTCGGTTGCCAAATATCTGAATTTTGATCATCTGACCATGGGGATGCTGAAATGGTCATAAGTCACTTTTTCAGTGCCATTGTAACTTTGGTCACTAAACGAACTGTTGTAAGTCGAGGACTACCTGTATAAGGTGATTTCTTAACTTTCTAAGGGGTCTCTCACCTTGTGTCCGTAGGCCTGCAGCGTTGACAGTCTCCTTGTTTATACATAAATAAATACTAATCTACCTTTCCAACTCGGATCCTATTTGGGCAAAGGCACACTGGGCTAAAGAATCTTGCCAATGTTTGCAGCTAACAGCACTGCCACATTCTGCTTCAGTTGAAACTTCCAGATAGTTTTCAAAGGGAACCCCATGTAGAGCAAATTGCAATAGTCCAGTTGGGAGATGACCAGGGCATGAGTGACCAGAAAGCCTCCCTATTCAGGAAAGGGTGTAACTGACGCACAACATAAAGTTGAGCAAAAGCCCTCCTGGCCACAGCTGCCACCTGCTCTTCCAGCAGGAGCTGTAAATCCAGAAGGACCCCAGGTTATGCATGGGGTCTGTTTAGGGTGATGCAACCCCATCCAAGACCAAAGGTGATAAATTCCTGGATACAGAGGGGCCTGCTGCTTTGAGATTCAAAGTTCAATCCTGCTGCAAAGCTGTCATTATGCTGTCTGCGAGCCAAAGCCAGCCTGCCTGCCTGTTAGAATAGCCTTAAAGAGCTTAGGGTGCAGATGAAGGATCGCTGTTCCAAAGGGGAGGTTGCTGAGTGCTCCTTGGCTCTTGTCCCCCATCAGCTTGAAAAACCTGTGAGGCTTGTGCTCCCTTGATGCTGCTCTGCCTAGGGGGGGAGGGGCTGCCTCTGCCTTCAGGGCTACTGCTGCATTTTATTTTCTTTGGTTTTAAGCGGGGATGCCCCTTGGAATAAATCTGGGCAAGAACAAGTGTTCTGTGGATGCAGCTGCTGACTACATTGCAGGCGTTCGCGTTTTGGGTCCACTGGCTGATTACGTGGTGGTGAATGTTTCCAGCCCAAATACACCAGGATTGCGGGCTCTGCAGAGCAGAGCAGACTTGCACCTCCTACTTACAAAGGTAGGGTCCTGCCTTGGGCCTGAAGGTTCTTCTTGCTTCCTTAGAAATCTCCCTGTTGGGGTGTTCTGTGCCCAGCAGATTGGCATGCACTTTGAACTGCTGCCTACTTGTATTCATTGAGCACTGTTCAAAAGAATATTGGGCCTCAATTAGGGAACAGCCCACCCATTGTTAGTGAATGCCTATTTCCCAGACTGGCCATCTTTGGTGTCATCTGGTCTCCTGAGCATTGGAAACAGCTTTGTTTAAGTACAGCTCCTCCTACTTCCCTTCCCAAGAGCATTTCATCTTATTGTGAGCCTCTCCATGTGCTAGAGTCCTGTTCTGCCTGTTGAAGAGATGGCCAAGGCCTGGAGCTTCAGTATCACCTTTGTTTCTGGCAGGTTCTTGCTGAGCGGGATTCTCTCCCAGGTAAGCACAAACCGGCTGTGCTGGTGAAGATTGCACCAGACCTGACAAGCCAAGAGAAACGGGACATTGCCAGGATTGTGAGTGAGGTACTAGGACAAGGGCAGGCTGTCATTCCCTTTATTAGCTCCTGACTCTGGCAGCCTCTGCTCTGTTTTATCTGCATGCTGCTGGTCAGGGGGGCATCTTCACCCCAAGGATTGGAAGGAACTGGGAACCATCTAATTCTGCCTTTTCTAATTTTCTAATTCTCCTTTTCCAGCTGGGCATTGATGGACTGGTGGTAACTAACACTACCGTGAACCGTCCTGAGACCCTTCGTGGGGCTTCTTGCAATGAAGCAGGGGGGCTGAGTGGGGCTCCCTTACGACAGCTCTCCACCCAGATGGTCAGCGACATGTATTCTCTCACCCAAGGTAACAAGATCAAGAAGAAGCATGAGAGGCAGTGGCGCCAGTTTCCTTTTCTATAAACCCTTCCTTCCTTCTCTTAGGCCGCATACCAATCATTGGAGTGGGTGGAGTCTGCACTGGCCAAGATGCCTTGGAGAAGATACGGGCAGGTGCCTCCTTGGTCCAGATGTACACAGCCCTCACGTACCATGGGCCACCTGTGGTTGGTGCCATAAAGCAGGAACTTGAGGCCCTTCTGAGGTGAGTGGAAAACTTAAGTTTCTTTTGGCATCAGCAGTATCGTGTCATATCTGCGAGGGAAAAGCAGGCTCTCTTCCTTATCCCTGCTTCTCTTGGTAGAATGTCCACTCCGTTTCAGCATGTTAACACTTAATTTAGAACTTAAAAGGATGGATATCAAACAAGAAGAAAGCAGGATTTTAATAAATCTTTTATTAATTGATTTAAAAATTGCCCTTAAATACTTATAACATCAGGAGGATAGCACCCCGATCAGCCAGGTGAGCCCTAAAGACAGAGAAGGTTCATATTCCGGAGTTCAGCTCATAGGAAACTATGAAAAATGCAAATTTCCCTTCCCCCTTCCTTTGGAATTTTCACTCAGTATTGGGATAATCAGTATTGGAAAATTAATTATTGTACTTAGAGTCATTGGAGAGGAAGACATTACTAGAGTAAGGAAGTACACATTGAGGAATATACATTGAAAGGAATTAGGTTCTTGAGAGAACAGCCCAAGCAGGCGTGCAGTATTAATTAACTAATCAAGGAAAGAAAAGAAAGCAAAGAAAAACTGTTTAGGAAAAGATATTTTTCCAAGGGTTAATGTTTTCCTTTTTATCCCCAAGAGATAGAAGAAGAGTTCACATAATTCTGTTTGCCTTGAGCAGGGAACAAGGATTCCAGAGTGTTCAAGATGCTGTGGGAGCGGATCATAGCCTCTGAGGATTCCTGGCCCAGGATTAGTGTAACAAAAGGGATCCCGTGAACATCCTGGACTCAGCAGAAAGAGAGGACATGTGTCATCCAAGATCCACTTTCTACTTCCTGCCCTTCATTAATGATTGGAGGGGGGGATTTGGACCTTTCTTTTTTAAAAAAAAAATGACATGTAACAAGAGAGAAACAGGTGTTTGTTGGCATACATCCTCTCCTGGGGAAGTGTAAAAGCTAAAGAGCTTTCCTGATGTCATGAGACTGACGCAAGCACAAGAAGGTAGAAATGTGTGACAAAGTCAGCAAGGAACATAGTATCAGTGTTCCCTTTGTTGAATCTCAGTCTCTCTCACCCTATAAGGTTGGGAGCCCTGTACATTGAGTAGAGGAAACCTGTTTTGTTATTTAGTTGTTTTGGAGAAGGCACACAGTAGTTTTGGCTTTTCAAAAATAAAGCATTATTGAGATTGTTTCCTCTGGAAGTTATTTAATTTTGTCTTAAAACATATGTCTATAAGTCTGTCTAGGATTCTAGGCAGTAGAAGATGCTGAGTCTTTGAAGGGAATGCTTTATACCAGGTAAATTGCTTCAAAAATGAATCTATTAAGAGGTTGGTAACAAAATATTTATCTAAATTTATTGGCTACTCAATTCCTGTGTACTGGGTGGCATACAAAACTATACATAAAAACATCTAGCACTGCCTTTCAAACTCAGGCACCTGAATGGCATGGAGCTGGAAAAAAAGCCTACTTCCTGAATTTGAGAAAGAAACAATATCTTTGCAAAATGCTTTTCAACCTCCCAAACTGCAAGTACGTCAAGCAAAGTGAAAAACATTTTATTAATGGGGGGGGGGGGTGTCAAGTTTTTACCTAGGATACAGAATGATACATTCAATATATATAATCCACCAGAAAGCAACAAATCCAAAGACATTGTCTAAGATGGGAGAAAAGAGATGCTGTTGAAATAGACTGCATCTCCTCTTTTCCCTCTTTTCTCTTGGATTTGTTTCTGAAACACTAGCAACACCGGAAGGACTTCAGAATACAGTCCTATTTGACTGATGAAAGGGGCTGGTTTTCACACATCAAAGGGAATGGTTTTGGCTCAAAGGGAAAATATGGTTTCCTACACTCCAGAGGAGGCGGCATCCTAAAATATTACCTTTATTAATGTATTAGTAACAAAATATTACCTTTATTAATGTATTAGTAACAAAGTCCCAAATCCCAGGAAATACTAGAAACATTAAATCAACAGGCAGCCTGGACTAAAATATTCTGCGAGCAAAACCAAATGGGCCGTTAAAGGGTGACAACACCAGGCTTGGAGCCAAGGCCAAGTTTTCAAATGCTCCCAGAATTTCAGTTGAGCTAATATCTTTTAAAGAATGGCAGGAAACTTTTTTCACCCTTGACTCGGATTTGGCTCCTGCCCAGCACACGGACAAGCCCGCGCGGTCTTCCAGGGGGCATTTTTGAGGAGGGCCCGGCCCAGGAGACCCGCCTGGCTTTGTGCCCAGGACACGGCCAAGGTTCCCTGCCGACTCCGGCGCCCGAGAACAAGCAGGGAGCCCTGGCCACGCTGTGCATAAGGACCGGGCCGGAACCAGCCCACGCGACGCCGACCGAAGCTTCACCGATGAAACGGTTGCCAGGCAATTCCAGGGCGGCGGAATCGCCTAGAACGGCCCTCCGCGGCTCTATGGCGGAAGGAGGAACAGGAGGACGGCCACCGCGGGGCATTCTGGGACGGCCGGCCCCGCTCCGTCCGGAAGAGGAAGCGTCGCGCAGGGGCCCATGGAGGAGCGCGCGGAGGCGGCGGCGGCGGAGGCCTCGCTGCACCGGCTGGCCGGGCTCGCGCCCGAGGAGCAGGTGGGGGGGCTGGTGCTGGTCAAACGGCGCAGCGCCGCCGAGGAGCAGCACGTCTTCAAGATCCCGGCGCCGCGCGCCTCCCTGCTGGGCCTTGACCTACTGGCCGCCCAGAAGCGTCGCGAGCGGGAGGACCGGCCCGCCAAGAGGCCCCGCGGCGGGGCGGGCGAGGAGGGCGAGGGCGAGCCGCCCCGGCAGCCGCCGGGGGAGGCGGGCGACGGGGCGGAGCGGGGCAGNCTGACCTCCCGTCTCTCCTCGGCAGGCAGTATCGCTCGGCCCAGGTGGAGACGCCGTCGCACCCGGGGGGCGTCAGCGAGGGCTTCTGGGAGCGCAGCCGGCAGCGGGAGCGGGAGCGGCGGGAGCAGGGCGTCTTCGCCTCGTCCAAGGAGAAGGAGCGCCGGAGGGAGCAGGAGCGCAAGCGGGACCGAGGTGAGCCCGAGCCCGGCGTCAGCCCCGCGGGGCCCTCCGCCCGCGCTGCTGACCGGCCTTTCTCCGCAGAGACCCGCGACTGTTGCCGGCGCAGCGCCCGCGCCGAGAAGGAAGGCTCTTCGGAGAGGAGCAGGAGCGCCCCGAGCAGCGAGCCGGAGAGCCCGCGGCAGCCGCCCAAAGGTGCTTGGTGCAGGGAGCCCGCCTGACGAGGGGGGGGGCGGCTTTGCCCCTCGCTCGCTGGCTCGCTCACTCGTTCCTTTCCGGTGCTCAGATGCAGCCACGCCATCGCACTCGAGTTGGGAGGAGGAAGACAGCGGTTACAGTGGATCCCGCCGCTCCCAGTGGGAGTCCCCCTCCCCGTCTCCCTCCTGCCGGGATGCCGATCGGAGCCACCGGAGCCCTGCTCAGCCTCGGGAGAACGAGAAGCGGGGGGACCGCGAACGGTATGGCGGGGCTAATGGCTCACAAGAGCAGATGGTGCTGCGCTGGTGGCCTGAGCGGGGCTGGAGGCTGGGCTGGTTGGGCAGCAAGAGTTGTGAGTGTGAGCTTTGCAGTGGTCGCCTTTTGCAGGTCCAGCAGGAGCAAGTGTCCTGAGGAGACTCCTTTGCCCACCCCTACTTACAAATACAACGAGTGGGCTGACAACCGAAGGCATTTGGGTGGGCCCCCTTGGCTCTCCAGAGGCAGGGGTAAGATAAAGGTTGTGGAATGGGGAGAGGCCCGGGCTTGCTTTATTCCTAGGTAGAATTGGCATCTCACCAGATCTGTTTCTAGGGAGATGTGAGGATGGGGAAGACGGCATTGCATTTGAAACAGAGGAAGAACGGCAGCAATGGGAAGACGATCAGCGGGTGAGTTGGCAGCTTTAAGCCCTGGGGTGACCTCTTGGTTACCTTGCTATTTGAGGCAAAATGGCTGAAAAGGGGAGAAACGGAGCAAGAAACTTCAGAATGAGACCAAACCAAACCTTGGATTGACAAACTGAGGTGGCTGTGGCTGCTTTTCACTTTCTAAGTGCGGGCTATGGGTGTGACCATCCCTTAGGAAGAGACCTCTCCCTGGGGCTTGGAGATCTCTTTTTGCCTCTCTGGGTGAAACGGCTGTGTGTGTGTGTGTAATCAGGAAATCAGTTTGCAATTGTAGTGTTGAGGAAAGGGCTTCTTTCCTGGGGGGGGAGCTGTTGTGATGCTAACATCCGATATTAGCAGCATTGACAGCTATGAGCAGCACAGCAGAAGATACCTTGTTTTTCTCTGGGGAGACTTTATAACCATTTTTGCCTCTCCTCAGCAAGCTGACCGGGACTGGTATATGATGGACGAGGGCTACGATGAGTTCCACAACCCCCTGGCTGCCTCCTCAGAGGAGTACGTGAGGAAGCGTGAGCAGCACCTGCAGAGGCAAAAGCAGACGCGCATCTCAGCTCAGCGCAGGCAGATCAATGAGGTAGGGTAGGGCAGGGGCATCCTAGGTTGAGGGGGCCCGGGGCTCAGCTGTGATCCAGAAGCAGAGGGTCCACTTGTTCTCTGCCATTGCTGTGAGCGCCGCAAGGCCTGCTTGGCCCAGAAATGGCGGCTTCTGCCTGATTTAACCTTCTGTTTGGCAGGATAATGAGCGCTGGGAGACCAACCGTATGCTGACGAGTGGTGTGGTGCATCGGCTGGAAGTGGAGGAGGACTTTGAGGAGGATAATGCTGCCCGGGTGCATCTTCTGGTGCACAACCTGGTACCTCCTTTTCTTGACGGGCGCATTGTTTTCACCAAGCAGGTGAGGTGACGTGATGCTGGGGGGTGGGGAGGAGCAATGGACATTTGTTGCCTTAAAATTATCCCTTTTTTCACTCTTTCCAGCCTGAGCCCGTCATCCCTGTCAAAGATGCCACCTCTGACTTGGCTATTATTGCCCGCAAAGGCAGCCTGCTGGTGCGGAAGCACCGGGAGCAAAAAGAGCGAAAGAAGGTGCTGGCTGAGTCTCTTGCTGTGTGGGTGCTGGCGGGTCCCCGACTCCTTCCTGGAGAGCTAGTTTGGCCTAGTGGTGAAGAGAATAGGCTAGAAGCGGGAGACCATGAGTTCAAGTCCAGGCTCTCAGCCCACCCCACTTCAAAGAATTGTTGTTGTGGGAGTTAATTAAAGGAGGAAGGTGTGGTTGATATGTTCACTGCCTTGAGTTGTTTGTAAGAATAATAAAGGTGGATTTAAGGAAAATAATAAGCAAAATAAATAATACAATCTCCCCTGAACCATTAGTAGGGAAGGCAGGTACAGTGCTCAAGTGGTTTGTAGAACATATTAAAGCAAGGGGGCCAGGTTTAGTTGTGTAAGCTGAGGAAAATCCTGAAGCAGGAAGCTGGAGGGGGGCCATTGAATAATGAGGAATCCATAATCTGGAGGTGGGGTAGCACTCTCCCCAAAGCGCTTTGGCTGGCAGCCAGTTACTGGTGGAAGCCAGAGCTACAGGAATTTTTGCTCAGCTTCAACTGGCTGCCAGCCAAAGCCTCATTTGAGGAAGGAAGTCTAGATTCTTGTCACCTTCTAGTGAGGGTGCTGTAATGTGTTGCCCAAGGGGCGGCAGCCCCTGAAGGTTACTTTCTGTGATTGGGATGCAGCAGGTAAGAGCTGCTGTTTGTGTATAGCACCTAAGTTACCAATGCAGCATTGTTTACTGGAAGCTTTTGAGATATCATTTGAAAGATGCCCCCACCTGATTCAGAGGCCAGGTACATGTGGGACCAGTTGTTTCAAATTGATCCTATGCAGCTTCCTCATCCCAGTGGTAGTGCTGTGGGATCTTGTCTTAGGGGATTTAAGGAGCAGCAAGAAAGGAGCATTTTTCTCTCATAGCGCCTCTTGCTGGAGATGCACGGCTGACTTTAACATTGAGAACAGAACTCTTGTTCAGAAGGGCATTTTGGGGCCTGTGCCTGTCCAGTAACGCCTCATTTAATTGACTTTGGCTTATATTAGCTGCAACTACATTCAATTGATGTCTTGCTTGGTAAGATTTCTGTCACTGCATGGGCTTGGCTCCTACCATTAGTTTCTTATTACCAGGCTTGTGATTCTGCGGGAGTGAACCAAGAGCAGGCATAACTGCTTGATGTTGCTTTTGTAGGCCCAGCACAGGCACTGGGAGCTGGCAGGTACGAAACTT